TTGCAGGGGGATTATCTGCATCAAGAAAATCCAAAAGCTCTGCCAAGGTATACCTGAAAGAAAATTACGCATTTTTTTAGGCCCATTGTATTAAATGACTGACTGTAGTATAGGTGATTTCATATAATAATGTAAAAGTAAACTCATTACTTGTCTGAATTTCAACATTATAATGAAATCATAAGCTACTAGTCATAAAAATGATTAGGGTCCTTGACTGATTAGAATGAAACGCATCCAAACTGGATGAAGGGGCCTCAATATTTTGCCCCTTACAAGACATAATATCAATAAAAGGGAGAAAAAGATAATCTACAGCAAATAATCCCATGCTTTAACTCTTATCTTTCCTTCTTCCTTTTGTGTGACTGACTGAAGTTTGGAAACTACTGCTGTCAATTGAAAACTGGAAAACCCATCCCCCATAGCAACAGCAGACACGGGGGTGGGGCAGTAGAGCGGTGGAAAGATTGCTCTCTCATCTCCTTCTGACAGATTTATTCCCTATCAAATTAAGGTCTACTGGACAGTAGAGATGTTAGTTAAAGGGTGAACTTATGTTTTAGGTAAGATATTATGAAAGTAAAAAGCACTAAACAAGACCAATAGCCTTGATTTATTAACCTATTAACACTATACCCCATTTCCCTATGATGTGTACACATGTACTTGAACTTTTGACTAAGTAGCCTAAAAAACAATAGATCTCTTGTAAGATTAATTTTTTTTGGTTTTATGATTCTAGAGACCTTCATGATTATGTATATATATATATATATATATATATATATATATATAAATATAAATATAAATATATGTCAACCAAAAATACTTATTAGTAAAATGAAAATGACATCTACAGTGCGGCAACTATAGTTGACGGTGCAGGCTTAACCCTCTGGGGTCCTTCATTTCAGGGTCACACTCAGGGTCTTCGGGACCAAATGGTCCGGAAGGGTTTGATTCATATTTATTAAAAGAAAATCATATATATTTTTTTTTACTTGTTTTTTATAAAAAAAAAAATCTTTTATTTTTTGGTGATTTGAGAAAATTTTATGATTTATAATTAATATTTATGCAATAATTATGACCCATTTTTTCCCATTGAATATAATATAATTTTTTTATAAATATGTATTTTTTTTTTTTTTTTTTAAAGCTGTATTTCATTTTAGAGTCAAGCCTAGGCCTCATGAAAACAATTTTTGAAATGAGATGGATGCCATCTGCTGGACACACTGAGCATTTTTATCACGCAATAGCACATTTTTACCACTAGTGGATTTACAGCTCTCTGTAGAAAGGGTTCAGAATTCTTGTGAGTTTTGCACATCTTTGACAATTTTTTTCAGGTTGTTGATTTTAAAATATAATAACAGATTCTCAAAGACTATTTTTGTCTTGTTTTTTGTTTGTTTGTTTGGTTTAAATGGTAATTTGAAGTGCCAGTTTTACTTTATAATACAGATTATTATAAATATATAATACAGTGTATGTGTGTGTGTCTGTTTTGCACTCTTGATGTTTTAGAGATTCACCCCTTCACTGTTGAGTCCTTTTTTCTGCATCCTGGCTGATTTGTAGATTGTATGCAAAAAAAAAAAACTCTGACAATTTCCCATTCATTTCCTATGGGGGTCATTTTTGACCAAAGAGCAGATGTGTGACGACCACTTAGCATGCTTGGATCATGACCTCAATATTTTTTGTTTGTTCACAGACACATACCTAATACCATAAAAGTCACCTAGTTTCGTAACATTCCGATGAAGCTGTGATTTTTAAAAATTTCAAAACATATTTATGTAATCTGAATTTATTAGTGTGTTTGTGTATAAAAGTGTGTGTGTGTGTGTGTGAGTTGGTTTATGTGATTTATGAGGACACAAATTTGTATAATGACATGTGTATTATACTGGTATTACAACTTATGGGTGGTTTATGAGGACATTTCAAAAGTCCTCATAAATCAAATGGCTTAAAAAACATAAAAAACAATGTTTTATTAAAAAATTAAAAATGCTGCATGTCTCCTGTGATGGGTAGGTTTAGGGATAGGGGCAGTGTAGGGGGATAGAATATATAGTTTTTACGGTATAAAAACCATTACGCCTATGGAGAGTCCTCATAATGCTGTTGCACCAACATGTGTGTGTGTGTGTGTGTGTGTGGGTGTGGATGTGTCTGTTTTGCACTCTTGATGTTTTATAGATTCACCCCTTCACTGTTGTGCGCTTTTTTTCTGGATCGTGGCTGATTTGTTGATTGTACGCACAAAACAACTCTGTATTGTCACATTTTTGTCAATTTCCCATTCATTTCCTATGGCGGGTCCATTTGGACCCGAAGACCCTGAGTGTGACCATTTTTTTTACAACCACTTAGACTATTCAAATCCTGTCCCCAATTTTTTTGGGTGTTCATATACCAAGTACCAACAAAGTCACCAAATTTCGGACCATTCCGATGAAGCTATGATTTTACACATTTTTTTATTTAAATTCTTCGGGTCCATTTGGTCCGAAGAACCCCAGAGGGTTAAATGGGTTAAAAGCTTGAAATTTGTTTTGCAGGTAAGGAAATGTTGTATTTTAATTTTTTACTCCGTTTTGCTTTTATTAGAAGATTTGTTTTGGAATTGTGTGTCTATCTGGGCGACAAACTTAAGGAGAAAAACAAGTGATGTGTTTTGGCTAAACATTTTCCACTGAGTTGAGATAAAGAACTGTTGCAGGGTGGGGAATTCAAGGCTAGCCGTTGGGTTGTCACTGAATGGGAACTTCAGTTCTGAGAAAAAGTTGATAAAATAAGTTATTGTCAGTTTGTGTCATGAACGCAAACTCCATGGGCTGACGACTAGGCCTACTATATAAAGAGTATACTTATCTTTGCTCAATCTCTCCAAGGAATGGTAAAGAGCTCTGGCCATTGAATAAATGCTAGTGAGAGAACCGAGTCTGTCTTTAATGCTGAAACATTTAAGGGTAGAGCGTGCTGGTCCTTGTTCACTCTCTTTCGTCTGCGTGGTGTGTTGATTTGTGTGCCGAATTTCGACCCCCGCCAAATTATTACCCCCCTAGTAATGGTAGGTTTAGGATTAGTTGTGGGGGTTAGGATTAGGCAATCAGGTAACGTTACTGACTTCAACGAGGGGGGTAATAATTTTGCAGGGGTTCAAAATTCGGCACAACACCGGCGCTTCGGTCTAGTTTGGTTTTGGTTCTGTCTCGGGGTTCGGACATTCATATATGTCCGTGTTTTCTGTTGTGAGTATGCAGTTTCGAGTTCGCTTGGACCGTACACTCTTCTGTCCACATGTGTATTGTGTTCGGGTTAGCACGCAGTTCGTGTTTCTATCGGCTGAGTTCTTTCTTCTTGTCTTGAGCTTTGTGGACATTCAGTCGGTGAGGGCTCTCATTGGCTGCGTGTTCGTGTCGTTTTGTTTGAGCACATGGCTTGATAGTGTTTGCTGACCATGTGCTCTTGTTTTTGTTATGTTTGTTGTGAGCACATGGCTTGTCATGTATATGTTTCCTTGTGTCATGCTGCTGTCATAAACTGTCTCCTGTCTATTGTCTAACCTTGCCCTTCTTGTTATCTGATTATTGGTTAATTTGCCCCACCTTTCCTCCCTCCTTTCCTGCTTTATTTGCTCTTCTACTTATCCGTCATATATAGGCTTACCCATAGTGTCTAGCCCTGCCCAGTCGCCATTGTGTGTTTTTAAATTACAAATAAAAAGCCAGTTCTCTGCTTCGAGTCCTCATCTCATCCCTTCACCCAACCCTGACACCTTTTTTCATTACAAAGAACTTTTGTGAAATGGAATGGAAAGATTCCATGGATGTTAAAGATTCTACATGGAACCATCGATTCCAATAAAGAACCTTTGTTTTTATGAGTGTAGTTAAGAGATTATATTACATGGGAAAATTAGTCTCAACATGTGTTTACTGGCCAGCTCTGACGCAGAAGAAAATTACCTCTGTTCTGTTTCTTTATTTATATAGCACTGTAAATACAACTTAAGTTGACCAAAGTGGTTTACATAGACACAAAAGATAATACATCAACATAGTAGTAATACAATTTAAAGCAAGCAACACAATCATAAGATACAAACCATTTTGAAAATGCCAAAGAGACTAGGTAAGTTTTTAACTTGGACTTAAAAATGGCCAAAGTCGGCGCCATTCTAATAGATTGGGATAGGCCACAGCAAACGCACAATCACCCTTGTGTTTAGATGTAGTTCTGGGCACTGTTAAGAGTGCAAAATCATCTGGTGGGAACATGACTTACGAGGATGTCTGCAAGAATAAGATGGAGCGAGGTTATGGGTGGACTTGAATACCAAGACCAAAAGTTTGAACTCGATTCTATATCTTATAGCCAATGCAACGAGGCAAGAATGGGAGTAATATGTTCATATTTTTGTGTTCGGGTCAAGAGTCTAGCGGCAGCATTCTGCACTAGTTGCAGCCGAGCTAGAATTTACTTAATACCCTGGTAGAGCAAGTTGCAGTGGTCCAAGCGGGAAGATTTGACGTAGATGAAAAAAGCTAGACTGGACATTAATTTGTTTATCCATTTTAAGCTCATTATCAAATAGGATGCCCACGTTTTAACACACAATCTCATATTTGGTTCGAACTGTTTAAGTTTCAGACACTGTAGCAGACACTGGCCCAAATAAAATGATTTCCGTCTTGGATTTAAAGAAATGAAGAAAATTTGAAGACATCCACTTTGGAGACAGGCTATCAAAGTGTCTAAGGCCTTTCATGACTACGTATGGTCCAATTGATTTTTCTACAAAATGATCATTTTATATTTTGTTTTTTCCCAAAATGGACAATTTGGATTAGCTTGTTTCCAGCATACATGTGAACATGCATCCCAGAATGCACATCATGAACGTCATTGAGTACATTGAGAATGTCCAGAGTATGCAGAGTTGAATCCAGATGGATGGCCACTTCAAAGTACATCAAATAGAAGATTTGGTGCCATTTTATGATTTCATTTTATTCTAATATCAGGAAAATAGTAGATTGAATAGTAATTGTGTCCAAACCTTCGACTGGTACTGTACAGCTGCAGTAAAAAACACACAAAGCTGTTGAACGGTCACCAGGAGGCACTGTTCAAAACTGCCACACTCACAGGGCAGATCTTAAGTGGCCCTGGATTGTTCCCATTTATATTTGCCCCCGGACAAAAAAAAGGGAACATCCTCTCAGTAAAGTGGTCATTAAATGTGTAGATGGGTGTCACATCCACTGGGTCAAAGAAGTTGACCTCTCCAGCATCATAGTCGATCTTCACGCGAACCCTCTCCAGGTGTCCCTTCAGCATGAGTGGTGTGTGCGGGGTGGTCATGGCCGTGTACTTCCCATCAGAGAGAGCGATGGTCCAGAATCCTCCTTCTGGACAGCCAGAGATTTTGCCTTTCCTGGCTATGGATTCTTTAACCACACCAATAACCCAGTCATTATTTTGGCCCACGTCCACTTCCCAGGAATGGCATCCGGAGGTGAAACCCTTGGAGCCCAGTACAAAAACAAAGTGGTCGAAGCGCTCAGGGTTATCAGGCAGCTGTTTCATCACCCCCGTGTTGGACACACTTGTTAGATTCTTGCTAAGAGACAAACAGGGGTAGGCTGTGTTGGGGTCCAACGTCACTGGAGCTAAGTGGTGGAGAAAGTGGGAAGACATTATAACAAATTTATATTTAAAAAAACTTAAATGTCATTCAAGGATGTAACTTTTTCAGTGTGAAATACTTTCTGCAACTAGCCATTTGTAGTTTTTTTTTGGCATTTGTTTGGACATCCTCACAGCTCAACCAATGGCGTGAGGTTTGGGGCGGGGATATCTGTTTGTTTGACCAATGGCAGATGGGTGCAGTGTTCTGGAAAACTTTTTGATAATACATTTTTGCAATTCCATTTGGTGACGCTATGAGCAAATAAATCCATTAGTAATTACACACTTCAGCTATAAGGATGTTGAAATAAAATGGAATGAACTTCTTAGAAATTCTGCTGTAAGTGTAGATATTAATAAATATAATTTAATGGATGATACATTTAATTTCTATGTATTATACATATTTCCAGAAACTTTAGAAGATATTAATAGTCAGTTTTGGCAATGACACCAATAGAAAAGTTGTATATATTTATATTTAATTCTATAAATATTGAAATATGTTAACATACTGTAATATACAAATATATTTATATATTTTTTATTATATAATTTTCGTTTTATGTACCATATTTCCCGGCCAGAATGCTCTAATTTAGTTCAAAGTGGAGCCAAAAAAACATAAAGCAGATTTACAAGATGGAAAAGATTTTTAAAAGTTTTTTCTAGCTTCATTTATTGAACAAACCAACTTTGAACTTTGAATTTCTTTGAACTGCTGTAATTTCCTCTTCCTGTCCTTGCTTTTCAACCTGAGAGACGTTCAATTCAGATTCTGACTCGTGAATTTAAAGGAAACCCGTTCTGAAACCCTGAATGTTTGCACAAGCTAATCCAGCTCTATAATAACCGAGCACTCACTGAATTCCACCAGACTCTGCATTTTTTCCCACACTCCGAACTTCAGGGAGGTCATGTGCTCCGCGACATCGATTAGAGATTTGGGGATGGTTTCTGGTTCGTGATATGTTATCTGAGCTCTGTAATGACAGATTAGTTGTGATGGATTTTATGCAAACAAAACGATCAAATACTTTCAAATGTGCAGTGTATGATTACCTCATTTTGACATTCTTGTAGTTCTGTGGGGAAAATGTAATTCAGTTACTTCTGCTAATATTTGTAGAAAATTGATAAGATTAGTTAACATTCCAAACACAGCAGATTACCTGTAAAAAGAGGCTGTCATCACTAGCAATCTCATTTTCGATGGCCATGATAGCCTGTGAAAAGGTGAGTATATCACGAGTGATTAAGTCCGTTTTTTTCTTCATCGTCTGCTTCTTTGTCTCTTCTTCTTCAGCCAGAACAGCAATCCTTGCAGCTTCCTCCTTCAAAAGAAATTTTTGAAGCTCTGCAAACTCCTCGTGAATTTGTTTCTCTGTCTGTTCCCTTTGGTTCTATGTGAACCCAACATAAAAAAAAAAGGTAATGCACTGAGTAATGCAGGTATCTGTTGATGGTTAGTGTATCACATGATGTCTGGAACTTTCTCAGTTGATACCTTGATGTGGACTGTTATGTCATCACATTCTTGTTTGGCCTCATAGAGGAGTCTAAGACTTTTCTTAAGTGGGATGACAATCTGCCGTATTTCCTCCTGGAGAAAGAAAAATGTACATCTCACTCGTACATCTACACCTGGTATTAAGAAGTGTTTTGGTCGATCGGTTCACAAGTAGACAAGGGAAACACATTCTTATTTACACCTGGTGTTTAAATCTGTATCTTTTGTAAATGTATGGTTTTTACAGATCTTCTGAATATGAACACGACAGGAGACGACGGAAAAACACACGGAGAGCTTTCGTTTCTTCTCTGACAGCTGCGAGACAATGCCGAACGCGGGGTGAGTGTGTGTTAGAAATCAGGAATGGTGAGAGAACATTGTGCTTGTTACGTTTTTCATCTTCAAACCAAAATTGGGTCTTCAGATCAGCCGACAGAGTTTAAATCCCGTCTTCCTGTAATGTTTACGCATTAGGTCAGTAGGCAGAGAGGAGGCGGTCTTTAGTGTCTGTTCGAATGCATTCGACCACATGAGCGTTTACACTATGAAAGCAATCCGGTCGAATGCGTTTTCAACTACCTTTGGAAGTGGTCGAAAGTGGGCAAGCTTGAAACGTTTTAGACCCCGTTTACACTTGTATTTAGCGTCGTCCACTTGTGATCCGATCGACCAAAACACATTCTAATACCAGGTGTAAACAGGGCCTAGGACAGTTCAACAAGTTGCACCCCAAAAGCAATTTCTGATTAAATATTTTTTTTAAATTGTATATTCACTATTAATTCTCATTACAGGTCAAAACTGTATTGACCTCAATTTTTAAAATTCCAAGATATTATCAAGTTTTCTATAGTCCTGGAAATTTACTCATATTTACTGCATTACACAATATTTTCAATTAAGCAAGGTAATCTGTATCCTACCACTGACAATTAAGCACATTTTCCCCCAAATTCTCATTACCACAATGTGAAAACTATATTATTATTTAATATATGATATTAGTTAAATTGCATTGATACATCCTGATAGTATTTATTGTGCTTTAATTTGTGCACAAAAAAAATGAGAATTGAGAATAAAGATAATTACGTAAGTAAAATAATGGCAAATGTTTTTTGCCAAAACAAAAAAAGCTTGTTGAATTGCACTACTTGAAAGAAATATGCATTGCATTAACCATGCTTGCATTTTAATCCATTGTATTTTTAGGGCTGCATTTTTATGTGCTGAAATTCAACATGGTCGTATATTTAAGCTGTGAATTTTGAAAAATATTTTGAATTCATTATTGAAAAATTCAATAATCCATAATCACCTTTCCGATTTCACTTCCAAAATTTTCATTCTGTTTAAAAATACAACCTGTAATATTCAACAGGTACTTTTCGGTCAAATTTATTTTGCTTTACAAATTCAGTGGTTCAAATTCGACAGAAAATTCCGCTTTTCACATCCGGGAACTGCAGGAAAAGCAATGGATTGCCGATTCATAATCTCCATCTGCTGTTAGTTGGCTCACCAGCAGGAGGTGCAAGTGCGTGTTGACGAAGACCAGCAATGGGTGAGAGCCATTCTTTTCATTCACAAAAACGGATTTACAGAAATGGAGTGTATGTGTGTGATGATTATCAATGCCACTATGCGGAAAAGCTGATAAAGACAAAAGCTGCATTTGTTTAATTCAATGTCTTCACTGTTACTTTTGTTCTTGTAAGCAGCTTTCTCTACCGTGAATGAGATTATGATGTTATTCACCGATGCTGATGTACAGATCAAATGTTAAAACTGAGGTAGACATATATTTCTCTCGGTTGTTTAGTTTCCATAACTATATACATTGCGGCGCTAAGCTGCAGGGGATTCCCTCAATACCTTGATGGACTAATACAGTGATATAAAAGAAGACCAGACTCACACCTTATTCGGAATGTAAGCGGTACTGTATATGCTACAGACAAAAAGATGGACTCAGAATATGAACGTAACGCGCAAAGTTTGACGCTAAGCGTTTCCCAGTGAAATACTGGCATAAAGTTGGCTTGACATTGGACGTTCGATATTTCGCAAATTTAGGGACCGTCTCTAAATTATACATACGACATTGGTACACGTTTCTAACTTCAATAGAAAGAATAACTTTGTCATAAAACCAACTGTAAAGTGTTCATGTAGGTGTCAGGCATGATTCAGATTCTTGATATTTAATTAAATAAACTGTCAATTAATGTATATAAAACATATAATATATAATGACTCTCGCCACCTTTTTTTCTTTCTTTCTTTATGGCTCTCTCTACTTGTTGCTTTGGTCTTCGTCAACAGCTGCTTGCACCCCCTGCTGGTGAGCCAACTAACAGCAGATGGAGATTATGCTCGGTAATCTACTGCTATTCCTGTTGAATTTTCTGTCGAATTTGAACCTGAATTTGAATTTGTGGAAGTGAATTTGTAAAGTGAAATAAAATGGACTGAATGCCTATCGAATATTATAGGTTGTATTTTTAAACAGAATTAATGATTTGGAAGTGAAATATGAAAGGTGAATATGAATTATTGAATGTTTAATAATGAAAATGTGTGTGAAATGTTATGAATTGAAATATTCACAGCTTAAATATACAGCAATGTTGAATTTCAGCCCATAAGAATGCAAGCCCTAAAAATACAAAGCACAGTTAATGCAATGCTTTTTTTTTTTTTAAGTTAGTGCAATTCAACAAGATTTTTGTTTCAAAAACATTTGGCATTCATTTTTTTCCATAGACAATTACTAAAAAAATAAAAAAATCTAAATTTAAATAAATACATCTGGATGCATTATGGTAATGATAATATGGATGGTAAATACAATAGACATAATGCCACAATGCAAAAAATAAAACAAATGCGTAAAACTAAGAAATATTCTTAGAAATATTATCACCTTGAGATCGTTTGCTGCCTCTTCCAAAGGACACACACTGTGGCCTTGATGTTTCTTGGACGTTTGACAAACACAGCAGAGAACCTCTTCATCCTGTTGGCAGAACAATTTGAGTCCCTCCCCGTGAGTGGCACAAAGAGCCTCCGATTTGGACATCCCGTTGGCAGTATTTGAGCCGGCTCTCGCAGACGCTTGTCCTTTCTGCTCCTGTATGATGGCGTCGCACACGTTCTTCAGAGCCAGGCTCACGGTGGGCTCCGTCAGAGAGCTCTTCCTCCTGCACACTGGACATTCCCTCTTGGCCGCTTTCCTGTTCCAGAACTGATGAAGGCAGAGCCGGCAGAAACTGTGGCTGCACTTCAGGACCACGGGATCGGTGAAGATCTCGCAGCAGACCGGACAAGAGAGCTCATCCTCTAAAGGCGACTTCGAGTGAGACGACGAAGCTCTCGGGCGCAGAACCGGGATGTTTTTAAGAGATGGAAGGGTGTTTGCTCTTCCAGGTTGAGAGGAAGCTCTTGGTCTCAAGGGCATGGCTGTTTGGTGTTGCTGGAGTGAAGTCCAGTCGCTTTTAATGCGGAAACCCCCGATGAGCTCAAGCTGCACCTGTAGTGTTTGTTGCCAGTCTCTCAGCTAGGTCACAATACTCCCACAAACACACACACGTCCCAAGAACGAGCCCGCCCTTCGCCAATAATTACCTTTTATAGTGCCGTGACTATCCATAACTTAAATTACCATCACAAAATTCTCAGAAGTCAAGTCTGACCACACCTCGTCCACTTGAACATTTCTTTTTTTCTTTTTTATAGTAGTCTAATATTTGGTCTTTGTACATTACTGGATCAACTGGTGCTAGAGGGGAAAACAAGCTTTGCCATTGATCCGTGAAATGTTTGGTGTAAGCATTACTGTTTTGGGAACTCAAAGGCAGTGTGAGGGGTTGGAAGAGAGCAAACACTTTCCGAACGCTGCAGGGACATTTACGCAAAGTTACTTGTGTGGAAAACACAAATTGCCACAGGAGTTTCTCTCATGGGGGTTATTCACCCAAAAATGACATTTCTGTCATTATTTACTCACCCTCATGTCGTTCCAAACCCATAGGAGTTTCCTTCATCTTCAGAACACAAATAAAGATCTTTTTGATTAAATCTATGAGCTTTCCATGGACAGCTACGCAATTGACACTTTGACACTTCAAAAAGTTCATAAAGAGATTGTAAAACTAATATGAATTGAGCGGTTTAGTCCAAATTTTCTACAGAGACACGATCGCTTGATATGATGAACAGAATGAATTTAGGCTTTTATTCACATTTAAACATTGATCAACTCACACATCAGTTGTGGTAAACGGAAGAACCAATGAGGTTCATTCTCGTGTTACACAGCACGTTTGAGCTTCCTCAAGAACCAATGAGGTTCATTCCCGTGTTACGCAGCACGTTTGAGCTTCTGCAAGAATCAATGAGGTTCATTCTCGTGTTACGCAGCACGTTTGAGCTTCTGCAAGAACCAATGAGGTTCATTCTCGTGTTACGCAGCACGTTTGAGCTTCTGCAAGAACCAATGAGGTTCATTCTCGTGTTACGCAGCACGTTTGAGCTTCTGCAAGAACCAATGAGGTTCATTCTCGTGTTACGCAACACGTTTGAGCTTCTGCAAGAACCAATGAGGTTCATTCTCGTGTTACGCAACACGTTTGAGCTTCAGCAAGAACCAATGAGGTTCATTCCCGTGTTACGCAGCACGTTTGAGCTTCTGCAAGAACCAATGAGGTTCATTCTCGTGTTACGCAGCACGTTTGAGCTTCTGCAAGAACCAATGAGGTTCATTCTCGTGTTACGCAACACGTTTGAGCTTCAGCAAAAACCAATGAGGTTCATTCTCGTGTTACGCAGCACGTTTGAGCTTCCTCAAGAACCAATGAGGTTCATTCTCGTGTTACGCAGCACGTTTGAGCTTCCTCAAGAACCAATGAGGTTCATTCTCGTGTTACGCAGCACGTTTGAGCTTCCTCAAGAACCAATGAGGTTCATTCTCGTGTTACGCAGCACGTTTGAGCTTCTGCAAGAACCAATGAGGTTCATTCTCGTGTTACACAGCACGTTTGAGCTTCAGCAAGAACCAATGAGGTTCATTCTCGTGTTACGCAGCACGTTTGAGCTTCAGCAAGTACCAATGAGGTTCATTCTCGTGTTACGCAGCAGGTTTGAGCTTCCTCAAGAACCAATGAGGTTTATTCTCGTGTTACGCAGCACGTTTGAGCTTCTGCAAGAACCAATGAGGTTCATTCTCGTGTTACACAGCACGTTTGAGCTTCAGCAAGAACCAATGAGGTTCATTCTCGTGTTACGCAGCACGTTTGAGCTTCAGCAAGTACCAATGAGGTTCATTCTCGTGTTACGCAGCAGGTTTGAGCTTCCTCAAGAACCAATGAGGTTTATTCTCGTGTTACGCAGCACGTTTGAGCTTCTGCAAGAACCAATGAGGTTCATTCTCGTGTTACACAGCACGTTTGAGCTTCAGCAAGAACCAATGAGGTTCATTCTCGTGTTACGCAGCACGTTTGAGCTTCAGCAAGTACCAATGAGGTTCATTCTCGTGTTACGCAGCAGGTTTGAGCTTCCTCAAGAACCAATGAGGTTTATTCTCGTGTTACGCAGCACGTTTGAGCTTCTGCAAGAACCAATGAGGTTCATTCTCGTGTTACGCAGCACGTTTGAGCTTCCTCAAGAACCAATGAGGTTCATTCTCGTGTTACGCAGCACGTTTGAGCTTCTGCAAGAACCAATGAGGTTCATTCTCGTGTTACGCAGCACGTTTGAGCTTCTGCAAGAACCAATGAGGTTCATTCTCGTGTTACGCAACACGTTTGTGCTTCTGCAAGAACCAATGAGGTTCATTCTCGTGTTACGCAGCACGTTTGAGCTTCCTCAAGAACCAATGAGGTTCATTCTCGTGTTACGCAGCACGTTTGAGCTTCAGCAAGAACCAATGAGGTTCATTCTCGTGTTACGCAGCACGTTTGAGCTTCCTCAAGAACCAATGAGGTTCATTCTCGTGTTACGCAGCACGTTTGAGCTTCTGCAAGAACCAATGAGGTTCATTCTAGTGTTACGCAGCACGTTTGAGCTTCTGCAAGAACCAATGAGGTTCATTCTCGTGTTACGCAGCACGTTTGAGCTTCTGCAAGAACCATTGAGGTTCAAACGTGCTGCGTAACACGAGAATGAACCTCATTGGTTCTTGCAGAAGCTCATTCTCGTGTTACGCAGCAAGTTTGAGCTTCCTCAAGAACCAATGAGGTTCATTTTCGTGTTACGCAGCACGTTTGAGCTTCTGCAAGAACCAATGAGGTTCATTCTCGTGTTACGCAGCATGTTTGAGCTTCTGCAAGAACCAATGAGGTTCATTCTCGTGTTACGCAGCACGTTTGAGCTTCTGCAAGAACCAATGACGTTCATTTTCGTGTTACGCAGCACGTTTGAGCTTCAGCAAGAACCAATGAGGTTCATTCTCGTGTTACGCAGCACGTTTGAGCTTCCTCAAGAACCAATGAGGTTCATTTTCGTGTTACGCAGCACGTTTGAGCTTCTGCAAGAACCAATGAGGTTCATTCTCGTGTAACGCAGCACGTTTGAGCTTCAGCAAGAACCAATGAGGTTCATTCTCGTGTTACGCAGCACGTATGAGCTTCTGCAAGAACCAATGAGGTTCATTCTCGTGTTACGCAGCACGTTTGAGCTTCAGCAAGAACCAATGAGGTTCATTCTCGTGTTACGCAGCAGGTTTGAGCTTCCTCAAGAACCAATGAGGTTCATTCTCATGTTACGCAGCACGTTTGAGCTTCCTCAAGAACCAATGAGGTTTATTCTAGTGTTACACAGCACATTTGAGCTTCCTCAAGAACCAATGAGGTTTATTCTAGTGTTACGCAGCACATTTGAGCTTCCTCAAGAACCAATGAGGTTCATTCTCGTGTTACGCAGCACGTTTGAGCTTCCTCAAGAACCAATGAGGTTCATTCTCGTGTTACGCAGCACGTATGAGCTTCTGCAAGAACCAATGAGGTTCATTCTCGTGTTACGCAGCACGTTTGAGCTTCAGCAAGAACCAATGAGGTTCATTCTCGTTACGCAGCACGTTTGAGCTTCTGCGAGAACCAATGAGGTTCATTCTCGTGTTACGCAGCACGTTTGAGCTTCCTCAAGAACCAATGAGGTTCATTCTCGTGTTACGCAGCACGTTTGAGCTTCCTCAAGAACCAATGAGGTTCATTCTCGTGTTACGCAGCACGTTTGAGCTTCTGCAAGAACCAATGAGGTTCATTCTCGTGTTACGCAGCACGTTTGAGCTTCTGCAAGAACCAATGAGGTTCATTCTCGTGTTACGCAGCACATTTGAGCTTCAGCAAGAACCAATGAGGTTCATTCTCGTGTTACGCAGCACGTTTGAGCTTCTGCAAGAACCAATGAGGTTCATTCTCGTGTTACGCAGCACGTTTGAGCTTCAGCAAGAACCAATGAGGTTCATTCTCGTGTTACGCAGCACGTTTGAGCTTCAGCAAGAACCAATGAGGTTCATTCTCATGTTACGCAGCACGTTTGAGCTTCTGCAAGAACCAATGAGGTTCATTCTCGTGTTACGCAGCACGTTTGAGCTTCTGCAAGAACCAATGAGGTTCATTCTCGTGTTACGCAGCACGTTTGAGCTTCAGCAAGAACCAATGAGGTTCATTCTCGTGTTACGCAGCACGTTTGAGCTTCCTCAAGAACCAATGAGGTTCATTCTCGTGTTACGCAGCACGTTTGAGCTTCTGCAAGAACCAATGAGGTTCATTCTCGTGTTACGCAGCACGTTTGAGCTTCTGCAAAAACCAATGAGGTTCATTCTCGTGTTACGCAGCACGTTTGAGCTTCAGCAAGAACCAATGAGGTTCATTCTCGTGTTACGCAGCAGGTCTGAGCTTCCTCAAGAACCAATGAGGTTCATTCTCGTGTTACGCAGCACGTTTGAGCTTCAGCAAGAACCAATGAGGTTCATTCTCGTGTTACGCAGCATGTTTGAGCTTCAGCAAGAACCAATGAGGTTCATTCTCGTGTTACGCACACGTTTGAGCTTCTGCAAGAACCAATGAGGTTCATTCTCGTGTTACGCAGCACGTTTGAGCTTCCTCAAGAACCAATGAGGTTCATTCTCGTGTTACGCAGCACGTTTGAGCTTCCTCAAGAACCAATGAGATTCATTCTCGTGTTACGCAGCACGTTTGAGCTTCTGCAAGAACCAATGAGGTTCATTCTCGTGTTACGCAGCACGTTTGAGCTTCTGCAAGAACCAATGAGGTTCATTCTCGTGTTACGCAGCACGTTTGAGCTTCTGCAAGAACCAATGAGGTTCATTCTCGTGTTACGCAGCATGTTTGAGCTTCAGCAAGAACCAATGAGGTTCATTCTCGTGTTACGCACACGTTTGAGCTTCTGCAAGAACCAATGAGGTTCATTCTCGTGTTACGCAGCACGTTTGAGCTTCCTCAAGAACCAATGAGGTTCATTCTCGTGTTACGCAGCACGTTTGAGCTTCTGCAAGAACCAATGAGGTTCATTCTCGTGTTACGCAGCACGTTTGAGCTTCTGCAAGAACCAATGAGGTTCATTCTCGTGTTACGCAGCACGTTTGAGCTTCTGCAAGAACCAATGAGGTTCATTCTCGTGTTACGCAGCACGTTTGAGCTTCTGCAAGAACCAATGAGGTTCATTCTCGTGTTACGCAGCACGTTTGAGCTTCTGCAAGAACCAATGAGGTTCATTCTCGTGTTACGCAGCATGTTTGAGCTTCAGCAAGAACCAATGAGGTTCATTCTCGTGTTACGCACACGTTTGAGCTTCTGCAAGAACCAATGAGGTTCATTCTCGTGTTACGCAGCACGTTTGAGCTTCCTCAAGAACCAATGAGGTTCATTCTCGTGTTACGCAGCACGTTTGAGCTTCTGCAAGAACCAATGAGGTTCATTCTCGTGTTACGCAGCACGTTTGAGCTTCTGCAAGAACCAATGAGGTTCATTCTCGTGTTACGCAGCACGTTTGAGCTTCAGCAAGAACCAATGAGGTTCATTCTCGTGTTACGCAGCAGGTTTGAGCTTCCTCAAGAACCAATGAGGTTCATTCTCGTGTTACGCAGCATGTTTGAGCTTCAGCAAGAACCAATGAGGTTCATTCTCGTGTTACGCACACGTTTGAGCTTCTGCAAGAACCAATGAGGTTCATTCTCGTGTTACGCAGCACGTTTGAGCTTCCTCAAGAACCAATGAGGTTCATTCTCATGTTACGCAGCACGTTTGAGCTTCCTCAAGAACCAATGAGATTCATTCTCGTGTTACGCAGCACGTTTGAGCTTCTGCAAGAACCAATGAGGTTCATTCTCGTGTTACGCAGCATGTTTGAGCTTCAGCAAGAACCAATGAGGTTCATTCTCGTGTTACGCACACGTTTGAGCTTCTGCAAGAACCAATGAGGTTCATTCTCGTGTTACGCAGCACGTTTGAGCTTCCTCAAGAACCAATGAGGTTCATTCTCGTGTTACGCAGCACGTTTGAGCTTCCTCAAGAACCAATGAGATTCATTCTCGTGTTACGCAGCACGTTTGAGCTTCTGCAAGAACCAATGAGGTTCATTCTCGTGTTACGCAGCACGTTTGAACTTCAGCAAGAGGTTTGTTCTTACGCATCAAGCAGGTTCTGTTGAGCTTTTGTTTATGTTTGCTGATCAATGTTTAAATGTGAATAAAAACCTAAATTCAATCTATTCATCATATAAAGCGATCGTGTCTCTTCAGAAAATTTGGACTAAACCACTCAATTCATTTGGATTCGTTTTATAATCTCTTTTTGAAGTGTCAGTTGCGTAGCTGTCTATGGAGGGACAGAAAGCCCTCAGATTTCATCAAAACGATCTTTGTGCATCGAAGATGAACGGAAGTCTTACACGCCGGAACGACGTGAGGGTGAGTAGTTAATGACAATTTTCATTTTTGAATGAACTTTCCCTTTAAGAATACTATATTAAATAAGTCTTGAATTATATTTTCAGTGCAGGTCACTCATTCCCCTATACAGCCACATTAGTAATGCAAACGTAAAGAATGGAAATATGCCCTTGGAGAGGTTGTTTAGCCAAGGAGAACGAACCCAATGTTTCAATGAACAACTGTTAGAAACAAAAACACCGCCTGCTTTCCAGAACACAAAAACAAAACAAAAAATCACACACATTCCGTTTTGTTTATTTTAATACTGTTGAGAAATCAGTAACAAATAACAATTTGGTGCAATAGCATTTCTGTCAAAGGAGAAAAATGTAACATAAGACTTATATGATTATTGCCATTTGAATGTAGTCTGAGTGTCACATGAATCCACCAGAACCATTACATCATCAGTGTAAACTATTCATTTTTAAAAACAACATATCTAAATATGTTCACAATGCATTGAATGAAAAAAAGTGTCCAAAGTAAATCAACCACAAGAGCGCTGTGTTCAAGCTACACTGATAGCTTTACAGTATGTAAAAAGTAACACCTAAACATGGAACAGTTTTTTTTTTACATCCTTTTTTAAATTTTTGCTCTGGTCCTTTAAACATTAACTTATGTCCTCCATAAGAAATGGCGCCTGACTAAATAATAATAAAAGAGGAAGAAATATACAGTTTGGAGTTTTAACCATCACATGATCAGCACTTTACATTTAAAACATGCTCTGAAGTTACAGATGTGGAAATACTACAGTGTTGAACAGCCTGGTTAAGAGTAATAATAATCTCTGAGTTCAACTAACTTAATAAATGTGCTTAGTGTACAATGTCTGTGTTTGGTCATATTTGCTGTACTATTGTCAGTATCTTGGAAATGCTACTGTAGTGTAATTTCCGTAAACACATCAACACTATATACACTCAAATCAATGCCATCCACAGCCTCTACCTTCCAATCAGTGCTTTAATATTCACTTTTAATTAGGGCTGGGCGATATACATCAAATATTCACAATATACTCACACAATAGTTGTGCTGGCAGTATAACATTAAGCATACCATACAGAGTCGCTGAGTCACAAAAGGTTGGCGTTCGCTTGCAAAACTTGAAACTAAATGAGATAGGAGAAATTATATTGCAAAATTTTGCTTTCTCTTGACAAAGTATTGCGTTCCCCTGAGAAACTTTGCGTTTGCTCGCAAAAGTTAGTATAGTTTAGAAATAGTATAGAATAGAAATATAGTTTTTCCCTCCCAAGCCCAACTCATATTTTTTTCATCACAAAAGTTTTGTGAGAAAAAAAGTTTCTCAGGAGAATGCAAGAGAACACAAATGCTTTGAAAGTGAAAACAAAAGCATTGCGAATGAACGCAAAAGAATTGAAATATAATTTTTCCTCCCATCCAACTTTTTTTTTTCTTCACCATTTCAGTAGATTCAAAACTCTCAACAATTCAACATTAAACAATTAATTTGCATTATCAATAACAAAATTCACTAACATCCTCGTGGCATAAAAATATATGTAGGTAAATATAGTTGTTTATTACTATATACTGGTTATATTTGTGCATAAAGATGAAAATGACTAAATATCAATCTTCATTATGTTCATAATCGTGAAAAACAGTCTGGACAAAATGATTGATTCGTATTTTACTTTATGCTTGAAACATTTTGAATCTGTTTGGCTGGAATGACGGTTGGTTTGAAATTAGTCCTATCGCCCAGCCCAACTTGTAATCCCTTCCATATTCCTCTATCAATCCTGAAAAGGATAAATACTATTTATAATACTTCATGATACTTATACTTATTACTAATACTGATTTTACTGAGAGAGAAAAAAAAAGAAAAGAAAAATTCCTTATGTTTGGCAATAGGTGGTAGTTGACCACATTACTAACATAAAAATCAATGTTTTATTTCTTTCCCGTTTCTCTTTTAAAATAAGAGCTAAGCCACAGAACTGGAAATGTAAAGCACTAGAGGTCATTTAGAAATAGTTCATTGCAACAACGTCTAAACCACTTGAAATCCTTAATATAAGAGAGGACAAGAGTACATAACAAGACAGCACATGCTTTATGGAATCATTATAGTGTTGATAAGACGAATGGTCTGTAATACTGCCACGGGACAGGGCAGATCCACACCAGTGCAGACCAGCATTGCCTCGATCTCTGCACCGTGTGGTCTGTGATCCGTGCCATAGCATGCAATTTATACAGCGTCGGGCAACACAGTGCAAGTGAAAGTCACAGTATGTAACAGAGAAACCTCACAGGGATACGAGACATGGTCCCTGGAGTGAACACTTTGCAAATTCAATGAGTCTCTTTTGCTTGATATCCTACTAAATAAGACATTTCACATAAGTGATTAGGCCTAGTCAACCCTGAATACAAGTTTAAATCTTGCATTCAACATAGTGTCTTGATAACATCTGTTAGAGGCCTACATACAAGTGTTTCCAGCATCCCAGCGTATGCTCCCAAAAAGAACAAAAATAAAATCCCATATAGTGTTCCTAAAGGAGTGTTTTCTAGAATTGCCATTTTAGCCCTTTCTAGAATTACACGCGACCGACCTTAGCATCGCCTATGGCACCCCACACATCAAACACAAACTCATCTGGAAATGCGAAATCACCCAGAGTCTCGTCCAAAGCTTCAGCAAACTCATCCGGGTTCTTCTTGTCCTTGCCGAGCTCAACCATCGTGGCAGCTGTGAATGAGTGTGGGAGTTAGAAACGCCACTTCAAGAAAGAAAAAACGTACAGAAACTGGAATACGCAGGGATACATACCAAGTTCACTGTCTCTAATACCCATGTAGCTCTCCAACAGATCATCCACTTTCTCAATAGCCTTTTCTTCAAATGCTGACGGCTGCAGAACAAATGAATGAATGAAAATATTACAGATTATCTTGCTTACCTAAAAAAATGACCCTTTCAGACATATTTTAGTATCAATACGCATCAAAATATCAACATTTTTGACAACACTATGGCATAGCATAACACAGATGAGGTTTTGTCCAGTTTGTAAAAAATTTAAATAGTCTTGAAAACTACAAACCAATCCGTAATGTTTTGTATTAGTGGCTGCAAGCTTTTCTGAATATATGGAGTCACATTATAACTAGCATTTCCAGCTCGTTGCAAATTTTCTATTTGAAAAGAAAAATTGTGAAAAAAAAAAAAAAGTAATAATTTGATGACAAGAAATGTCTAATAAAAATGTAAATCTAAAAATGCACCTCTAATTTTTTTTTTCCAATCTTTGACAAAATTTAATGCATAAATGTTAGTGTAATCTTTTCTAGCCTTGAATTTTAAATTCCCTCATATTTCCTGGTATTTTCTATGAATGTGAGAGCTCAAGATAGGATTGAACTGATGCAATCATACTGTACATTAAAATACAGATTCTCATAATATTTATTTACATCCATTAAATACATATTTGTAATGTGCATTCATATTTCCTACACTTTAACTTAAACTTTTTAATCTTTAACTTTTTAAAGACCAAGTAAAGAAAATGTAAGGAATAAAGAGAAGGGAACACAACATGTCAAAGTAAAAGTCTAGAGAGAATCAATGAGTTGTACTAGCAACACATCAAAGTTTCAGAATAAAACTCCCTACTGATACTTTTTAATTCATATTACAAATAATAACTTAAGGCTTGAATACCTCTGCTCCCAATCAATATGGACATAACGTTTACTGTACCTTGTACTACCTTCTGATCACAGTGCAGTGCAAAAGTCAAAAGATTCTTAAAGGGTTAGTTCACCCAAAAATGAAAATCCATTTATAATCCATTTATTCACTCTTTGAGCATATACCTGAACATTTTATTTCCAACTTAAAGGGTTAGTTCACCCAAAAATGAAAACTCTGTCAGTAATTTCTCACTCTCATGTTGTTCCAACCCCGTAAGACTTTCGTTCATCTTCGGAACACAAATTAAGATATTTTTGATTAAATCTGAGAGCTGGATCACTCCTCCATAGGCTTCTAAGGGATTGAAACTTGCCGGCCCAGAAAAGTTATTAAAGACATCGTTAAAATAGTCCAAGTGACTACAGTGGCTCAACCTTAAGTTTATCAAGCGACGAGAATACTTTTTGTGCGCCCAAAAAAACTAAAATAACTACTTTATTCAACTATTCATTTTCTTCTGTGTGGGCCTCTGATGTGCGTTCACGAGAGCGCCACGACGCATGCGCGAGAACTGGGAAGATAACGCAGATGGGTCTCGATGTAGTGTTTAAATGCTTCTAAAGTGTGCATTTCCTGGATGTCCGAATCGTGAGAAACCAACGAGAAAACGTAAAAGTGCCTTACCAATGCCGCAAAATGAATGGCTTACCTTTCACACTTTCCCATCAAATGATCGTGAGCGTCTTCTCAGTGTCTGCGCATGCGGTGTGTCGCTCTCGTGAACTCACGCCAGAGGCCCACACAGAAGAAAATTAATAGTTGAATAGTTGTTATTTTTGGGGGGTTTTGCGCACAAAAAGTATTGTCGTCGCTTGATAAACTGAGAGTTGAGCCACTGTAGTCACTTGGACTATTTTAACGATGTCTTTACTAACTTTTCTTGACCGGCAGATGAACGTCTATGGAGGATTGATCCAGCTCAAAGATTTCATCAAAAATATCTTAATTTGTGTTCCGAAGATGAACGAAAGTCTTACGGGGTTGGAACAACATGAGGGTGAGTAATTACTAAGAAAATTTTCATTTTTGGGTGAACTAACCCTTTAAATCAAGGCAAAATGATATAGATAAAAATCAAGTGAGTTTATGATTAAGACATGAAAAGGGTGAAAACTAGTTTTCATACCCCAATGACAAATATTTGTTTTTGTTTCAAGTGTAAACTCGCATAATTTTGTTCAGTTTCTCAGAAAACAAGACTTCATATCTTAATTGTGCATCTATAGTCATTGTGTGTTGATTTAAGTACGTTTAGATATTAGTTTTGAAAAACAAGACCAAAATGCTTCGAGGCCTTAATTTCTGGTTTTAAAGACGTTTTTAAGACCGGCAGAAACCCTGTGAAAAAGTCATCTAAATAAGTGCAAACTGTAAAATTGGCATTTCTTCATGAGGAAGATTCAATCTAGGTCTGTCTCTTACTTAAATCAATCCAATTATAAATCAATCAATACAGGATTGATAAGTATATTATTGATTTATAACTATTGTTATGCCTAACAATATATTAACGTGCGGAATATATATTGCAATGTGTATCATATTGCAAGACAGTAAGAGACGCATAGACCTTTCCAAGCACACAAATGCAAACACAGTTTAGTGACCCGTGAACTGAGATCATTATACCCCTGAGCAAGGCATCTCACCAGTTCCTCTACGGTGGCCGGTCCTTTAGATCTCAGGCGCAGGGTTCCTTTGCCCGTTCCTAACTGTGCAGAGCCTGACCTGCTTCCTGACCGCTGACTGATCATGTCTAAAAACAACAAAAAAGGTCAAAATCATCATATCAAATTCACTGTGGCCATCAATGTCAGCTACAGTGTGTTCATAAACTCTTACCAAATGCCTTCATAGGCTCCACCAGCTTCAGGACAAAGGTTTTCCCTTTGGGCAATTCCTTCAGCATCTTGGCAACCTCATAGTGGCGACAGCCGATGAGTATCTGTCCATTGATCGACTCGATCATGTCGCCCACGTTGATGACCTGGATCTGATGTATAATACTGGCTTCTCTTATTCTCTGCAAAGGAAACATGATTATCAGATGATTTCAGAAGGTTGGGTGGTATGATTGCTCAAGATGAGGATAAGATTATTATTATTAAGAGGTATTTGTTAGGTACAATGTGAAGTTTATGGTTGTTGAGCAATGGCACAGTTTTTTGCACTGATGTAGCATCTAACTGATGTGCAATCAATCACAGGGGTGCTTATATCAGCTCATTTACAACAGCTTCAAATCTGATTCATCCCATCAGAATAATAGACTAAGAATTATAACAACCAGCATTACAAAAAAACCCTGACGGCGTCCGACTAGAGCCAAAAACTAAGCCGACTGACGCTCAAAAATGCCCCGACCATCGGCTTGTTGTGTCCCAGGCTTTCAGAATGACCCAAAGTGAACTATTTCAAGAGTGAAAAGCACTTTAGTTTTTGACATCAAAAACATGAACTTACTTACATCAACCCTGTGGTGCTCTTCGGTCATTTTTGACCGAAAATGTTTAAAAAATGTTTTTATTTTTTTTATCGGAATGGTACAAAAATTGGTTAAGGTTTTGGCACTTGCTATATGAACACAAAAAAAAAAATCATGGACATGATTTGAACAGATTAAATGATCTTGAAAAAATAGTGACACTTGTGTTCCTCGTGGTCAAAAATGACCGCATTGGAAATGAATGGGAGACGAATTTCATCTAGTGGAAACTTAGTCAAACAAAATCTTACTGAAACATTTAATTTTTTTGACATATCAGGCTAAAATTTTTAACACGACTTGTTTAGATTTATGGCTTTGATTTTCTCACAGTTTTAGAGTAAAACACGTTTTTGAAAATAAATATTTCATATAAAAAATTTAAATGGTATTTTTGAAAAATTTTCATAACAATAAACATAAAATTCTGTACCTTTTTTTAAGTTCACTTTTTAAAAACTTAACTCATCAGCAATAATCTGCCAAGTGTCGTCTTTGAAAAGAGATCAAACCGAAGTCTGTCCTCTAAAAGCATTCAAGATTTACGAAGGTTTAAAGGGTTAGAAAAATTTAAATTCTGTCAGTAATTACTCGTCCTCATGGTGTTCCAACCCCGGAAGACTTTCGTTCATCTTCGGAACACAAATTAAGATATTTTTGATTAAATCTGAGAGCTGGATCACTCCTCCATAGGCTTCTTAAGGGATCGAAACTGGCCGGCCCAGAAAAGTTATTAAAGACATTGTTAAAATAGTCTACAGTGGCTCAACCTTAAAGGTGAACTAAGTAACTTTTTTACCTTAACCGAACAGCTTTGGAGTCATTGTAATGTTTATATTACTGATTTCGTGTTGAATGGTGGTCGTCTCACACCCCCCCGGTGCCTGTGAGCCGCAAAACCACCCTTGCAACTTTGGGCCGGCGAGCCGCCGGCCTCAGTGTTAGGAAGTATCGTGTGATATCAGGTCTCGCGAGGTAACGAATTGCTTTACGGCAAAAAACAGATCTGATAAAATTCTGATAAAATGAGCATCAAACAGAAATAACCCGGCGCCGTATAGATGTGGTGTTGGGCGCGCGCAGCTCTTAAAGGGGCCATACCTTATTTCCACTCGTTACAGCGTTCATCCTACTGAACAGGTAACGGTGTACAGGGGGAGGGGATCCGGCCGTGAGTGCGAGCCATCTCTGCGTGAGTGCTATTCACGACAGTACAAGTACTCCACAGCGACTCTAGGGGTCGCTGTTTGACAAAAACGGAATTCCTACTTAGTGCTGCTTTAAGTTTATCAAGCGACGAGAATATTTTTTGTGCGCAAAAAACAAACAAAAATAACGACTTTATTCAACTATTCATTTCCTTCTCTGTGGGCCTCGAGATTTCACGTAGTGAAACTGCGCAAAGCTTCTAGGTTGTACGTCACACGCATCACACACATGACCAGCGTCGGCCAATAGTGAGCCTACGTGTAACGTGCAACAAAGAAGCTTTGCGCTGTTTCACTACGTGAGATCTCAAAATATCTTAATTTTTGTTCCGAAGATGAACGAAAGTCTTACGGGGTTGGAACAACATGAGGGTGAGAGATTACTGACAGAATTTTCATTTTGGGGTGAACTATCCCTTTAAGTTGGAAATTAAATTTTCAGGTATAGCCTATGCTCAAAGAGTGAATAAAAGGATTATAAATACAGCGTAAATTTAATTTAGTACCATAAAATCCCCTAAAAATAAAAAAAAAATTATTGAAAACATTATCGAACTAAAATATAGTACATTAATTTCATTGAAATAAAAAAATACATTTCGGTCATTTTTGACCAGCACGCGAAGAGCACCAGAGGGTTGAAAGCCCTGATAATTTCTCTCACCTTAATGAAAGCATAGCCAGCTCCATTATCAGTGATGGTGAGCCCCAGTGCATCCTCTCCTTTAAACACCTCCACTTCTTTCCTCTGACCCTTCACGTGAGCGAATATAAAGTCCTCCAGCCCGATCTGGCCACCCAAAAGTTTGTCCATATCCACTTTGTGAGTATTCAGTGTGCAAAACATCACCTGAGAAAGGATGTAGGCATTTAGTCTAGGGATTGGCATTTCAAGCAAAAATAATATTCGATGATCGCTGGGAATTATTCGATTATTATTCGAAAATTGCACCCCTCCCCCACATGCTCACCGATAAAACTGCGTTCGTTCAAATCCCGCTCCGACATTACATTTCTCTGTACTTTACTATACGTGTTGTAGCTATTAAAGAAAACATATTTAGATTCATATTTATGTTTTTATTTCATCTATGTTGATTATATGAAAAGTGAACAGCATGAGTAAGATAGGATCATAAGATGCGCAGTATATCGGGAGACATATGGAGTGGGTCAGACATGATTTTGACCATTAAGTTTTGTTTTGTAGAAAGCCCTTCTTTAAATAGAATTTCGTTTTGTATAAATTGTATCTTAATTTTAATCAATGTTTCATCAACCAGTTGCCTGGGTTTAATAAATGAGAAGAAAATATAGCAGACAATATAATCAGGACATTGAGGCGCCGGCGCTATCACTTGCATTGCTCGTGAACTGGAGCTCGTCTCATAAATGAACCGAAACTCAGTGTATAGGCTACTTGCCTCACGAGAAATATATCTATAGAAAGCTTGAAATGTCTACAGACAGACTACTGTCTGCTTATGTAGACAGTCCAAGAAACAGACTACTCTCTGCTTATGTAATCCGTATGAAATGTCCATTTCTCTCTATAGGCGCGTTCAAAATACCGCGAAGATGGCGAGTTAGCATCTTTGCAGCCAAGTCCGACACTGACACAGAAAACACTAGTTTATTAATAAACAATTAAAATGTCTCCTTGCTATATTTGACATTCAAAATCCTTACTTTTGCCGGTTCTTTGTGGCAGCGCCACCCTCTGGTTACATAAACCAGCGCATCAGCACCGGGATTTTTTTAGACCACAATCGCACAACCTATTCGATATTCCATAATCAAATCAACTAATCGAATATTCAAAAATCGTAACTCATCCCTAATTAAGTCAGCATAACCAGCAAGCACAGAGATATAAAGCAAAGAGAAACGCCCCTCACCTCTGTTGGAAGAATCCCAAAGGCCTCTCCTATCTTGGCGTAAAGCTCACGCACATTGCTGAAGCCCTCAATGCGTCCCGTGGGGCTGCCGTGAGCCAGCTGGGTGTGGAAGATCAGGCGGGGTCGCAGGCCGGTGGGTGGAGGTGGTAAACCCTCATGGGCGGCTCCTTCACCCAGGCCGACCCTGCCACCATCCAGGCCATCCAACCCTGGGACGTTCAGTCCGGCCCGGATCGGCTCGGCCTCCTCGTTCTCCACCAGCGGAGACGCCTTCTTTCTGCGTCCCAATCCAAGTGGCATTGTGGGTGCTGCTGTCTTTGTTTATTACACAGGCACAATGTTTTAACACAAAGGGGTCTGCGAACCACCTTTAATGCCGTTCTTTATGGGCCCAAATCAAAGGGGAAAAAAAGTCTCATGAGTTCAACCCATTCAAAGGAAATCTCCAGACCTGTGATACAAAGAGAAACAAATGGAAATGGAGAAAATATATTGTAGTAGGGCTGCACGATATATATCAAAATTCAAAACAGTTGAAATATCACAATGTACATATCGCGATATGCATATCGCAACGGCTTCCGATGACTGAATGATTTTAATAGGCTACGTCAAAAGTCAAAGTTTTATGTCACCGGCGCATATAGAAAAAAAAATAGACTGGGCACGCGACTGTTACTCACATGAGTAACGTGACTTGCTTTAAATTAAAAAGAGTTATTAAGCGCAATAAGCTGTGGAAAACAACAAACGCGTTGTCTGACTCACACCCGAAGCACGCGCACAGAGAGACGCCTCTCGGACAGCGTGCGATCCCGAATTCAGTTCTCTTTCCCGGCTTATTGCACTTAAACTGTCAAATACACACATAGTTATGTCAAAATGCCCAAAAGCGTCACATGTATGACGCTTGGGATGAGAAGGGGCTGAAATGCCGGTCTTGGCGAGTACTCATGTAAACAGGTTATATGAACGTAAACAGTTGAAAACTTAAAGTGACAGCAGCTTAATACAGTAAACCTGCTGCTGTCTGTCAAACAACAAAAGATAAAGAGAAAATCACTCACTGCTCTTGACTGAATAACTTTTCTAGGTTTAATATGAATCGATGTGTATTTAATTCATGTGAAGACTATGCAGTTTTATTTTTTTTACATTTGATTATTCAGTTTCTGTATTGTTTCTTACTTGAATGCTTTTATTAAATCTAATGTAGGTCAACCAGAAAAACACAAAGCACTGTTTATTTGCCTCTTTGGTTTTAATAACAAAGACTAATTTAAAGGAGTTCACTTTTAAAAAACTTTTGCTGATAATTTACTCACCCCCATGTCATCCAAGATGTCCATGTCTTTCTTTCTTCAGCCGAAAAGAAATTAAGGTTTTTGATGAAAACATTCCAGGATTTTTCTCCATATAATGGACTTTAATGGTAGCCAAACGGTTCAAGGTCCAAATGACCATTTTATTGCAGTTTCAAAGGGCTTTAAACGATACCAGACTATGAATAAGGGTCTTATCCATAGACCGTATAAGAAGTGGACAGAGCCATCTCATTGGAACTCAGTTGAGACAGTTGAAGCCCATTTTTAGCGATTTTTGAGCACTTCCGTTCCTGACGCGCAGACTCAAACCGACTCAAACTAAGCTTGATGACGTGAGCAACCTGTCTGACAGACATTACTATTCTAGTAGCTGTGCGTGAAAACTGCCAACGTTAATCTTGCAGAGACGGGGAACTTGAGCAAAGAGTTATTTGGCGTGAGTGAGTAGGAGTAAGTATTCCGTTGCCTTTATGGACTCATTATCTATGGGCTTCTCCCTTGACGGGACGTCCCCCCGATTGCCTGCGAGCTTCTCCTCCTGTCTGTACGGTCATTTCTGTACAGCGCGACAGAGAGTCGAGTGGTTATGACGCAGTCGTTAGCCTATTTTTACTAAATCTGTTTCTACGGGGCCATAATGTAACATAGAAGGTAATGGAGCCCTTTATACATTGTCGTGTTTCTTTAGAAATAAATATTGGACAAATGGAGTCTTTAAACGCCTCAGATGTAAATTTATTCGCTGTCAAAGTGACGCCAAAATGAATGGGAGTCAATGGAAATGCTAACGCAAGTGAAGTTCAGCTACAACATGGCGGCACCCGGCCGGCTTCAACTTCCGGTCGATGGATTACCCACTTGGTCTTATCTAGCGAAACGATCGATCATTTCAAAAATAAATAAAAAAAGTTTAAGTTTTATAAGTACAAATGCTCGCCTTGCTATGTTCTGTGATTCGCGTTCGTGAATCTCCGGTTCGAACTCGTTCATCAAAATAAACGAATCTTTTTTTCCGAGTCATTTCGTTCATTTCGTTGGTTGAATGAACGAAATGACTCGAAAAAAGATTCGTTCATTTTGATGAACGAGTTCGAACAGGAGAGTCAGGAACGCGAATCACAGAACATAGCAAGGCGAGCATTTGTACTTATAAAACTTAAACTTTTTTATTTATTTTTGAAATGACCGATCGTTTCGCTAGATAAAACCCTTATTCATTGTCTGGTATCGTTTAAAGCCCTTTGAAGCTGCACTGAAATTGTCATTTGGACCTTGAACCGTTTGGCTCCCATTGAAGTCCATTATATGGAGAAAAATCCTGGAATGTTTTCATCAAAAACCTTAATTTCTTTTCGGCTGAAGAAAGAAAGACATGGACATCTTGGATGACATGGGGGTGAGTAAATTATTAGCAAAAGTTTTTTTTAAAGTGAACTACTCCTTTAAATAACAAAATAAATAATTATATTTCATGTTAAAATTACATTGTCAGATTTGTGTTTATGTAATGCTAAACCACTGCTGTTGTAGTGATGCTTTCTTTTCTCAGAAATCATTTCAGTTTTTAAATATTTAAATAAAATTTTAAAAGATTTTAAGAACTTAAAGCATTATCGTATCACGTATCGAATTATTTAACAAATTTATCGTATATAGCATTTTTCTTAAATATTGTGCAGCCCTGATTTGTAGCAAATGTAATATACAAGCAAAGAAAAAACTAAAACTTAATTTAAAACCTAGACAAGAAAAAGATTTTACTTATTATTTAAGGAATAAATGTCAATGTAATTTCTATGACTTTTCTAGCCTTTAATTTAGAATTCCTACATCAAGACACACAATACAATACATACATTAAACACATACAGTACTGTGCAAAAGTCTTAGTAATGTTAGTATATTTTTATTTTTATTTTATGCATAATTATAAATGTAGGCCTAATTTGATTTTGTATAGCTTCTAAATTCCCTGATATTTCCTGGTATGTTCTATGACTGTGGGAACTCAAGGTTGCACCGATACAATCACACATCAAGACTGATTCTCACAATATTTAACGTTACATGCATTAAATACATATTGTTTTCATGTGCATTCATAATTCCACCAATTCAAGTAATGGAAAAGTCATAGAAACTGTTTCTCCAAGACGATATGGGCGTTTCTGTGAGATCTAGGTCGTCTTTCTCAAACAGTAATCACAACTGAGATGGAAAAAAAATTACATTTAAAGCAAATGTAATATACAAGCGAAATTTTTTGGGATGAAATCATACTTCTATACTAGACTGGTTTCATTCAACCAAAAGAAAGAATGGTTCTGCCTTGTTTACTTGAACCGCTATCTGACTATCTTAAAGGATGAACTAAACTCAATTAATTAAACCGACCACTGAAAAATCACTTTCATGCGTTTAAGTTTCAGGATTAATGCAGTCTGACATGTTTCTATTCATAGTCTGAAGCTAAAGCAGCTAACAGTAATGTGTGAGTTAGCATGTTAGCATCCTCTAGACATCACGGCACTTACCAAACTAACTCTGACAGTGAAGCAACCATGAACCGCTGGGACGTCGGACTTATAATGTGTTCATTACAAAATCTGATTGTTGAGGAGGGTTAAAGCGGGTGTTTAGGGAGTATGTTCTGGTATGTGAGAGGAAGGCGGATATCACATCACTCAACAGAACCTGCAGTTCTTCCTCTGTGTTGACACCGTTACAGCAGCACAGCTCAAACACACGCGCGCTGCTGCCATCTACAGGCGAGATGCGGTCTGAACATCAGTCAGCACTGCATTTTATTTTGTTTTTTTTAGTTATTTATTTTTAGAAATAAAAACGCATACAAGTTTTCTGCAAAAAACAAAACAAAACAAAACTAGTGTCCCCAAAGTACATCAAGTGAAGCCCTGAGCCCATACAACTACAGCTTGAGAAGTGGATAAAACTGCAGATCAAGGTGTTATAGGCCTAGGCCTACTATTAATTTTTTATTTTTAATGTCAGGATGAAATCAAACTGGACCATCCTTATTTTGATGCAATATTGTAGTTTTTATTATAAGCCTAAATAATTTATCCGTGCAGATCATTATTTTATTTTTAATTCTGTTTCATGTAATCTATTCTACCTACACTATTAACGTTTTAAACAAATTCTCAAGGTCTCTTGTATGGATTTTGAAGGAAAATGGTTATATGCCCTGTTACATATTTTTGTTACATTATTTAAAAAAAAAAATCAGTTACAATCAGCAGAAAACACACAAAAAAATGAAGTGGCGATACCACAACATTCCTGATGGCGTAAACACACACAGCAGTAGTTGAAATTTCATGTTATTTTAATTGTAAAAGTGTTTGTTCTCCAGTTGATGGCAGCATTAAACCATGGCACATTGTCCTTGTTATTTCCATGAATGAAAATGAGAAATGTGGATCTTTTTAAAGTGATTTTTTAATTTATTTATATACATTTTAAAAAACACCTTAAATACCCCCAAACACTGCAAAAAATGTAGAGTAAAAACATTAATAAAGTGAGGGATATTACATTTGTTTAAAAAAAAGTACTGGACATTATTATGTTACAAAATCACCTTTCATAGTTTGGGGTCTCATCCTGAGAGGGCCTTATTTTTTCATGCTAACATACAACCAGATATCATTTATTTTATTTATTTTTTGTTTGTAGAGCTAGCAAGTGTCAACCACGACAGCAAATGTCATGTGGGGTCAAAAAGACCCTGAATAGCACCGACGGGTTACATACCTAGACCACAACAAAAGAGCTGTAAATATTTATGACACCAACATCTTTCCCTGATCTGGCCCTGCACGCTACAAAAATGACGGCCCAGGCTATCGGCAGAACAGTGGCCAGTTTGGTGGTGCTGGAGCGCCACCTTTAGCTCAACCTGACGGAGATAAAGGACGCAGATAAGGCTGCCTTCCTCGACTCCCCATGTGCCGGGCAGGCAGAAACTAGGGGTGCTGTCCAAGGGCAATGTCGTCTCGGGGGAGTGGACACTCCATCCCCAGATGGTTCAAACGACCTGGAGTGTCTTCGGGAGGGCAGAGGTTGACCTCTTCGACCTCAGAAGATAACTCTCACTGCCCACTTTATTTTTCAAAGGATAGGGACGCGCTGGCCCACGAATGGCCCAACCACCCCCTTTACGCCTTCCCCCCAGTCACGGTTATCAGACAGGGAGGACAGATGCGCAGTCCTTATGGTGGCCCCCCTCTGGTGGAACCAACCATGGTTCCCGAAGTTGACACAGCTGCTCTCAGCTGCTCAGTGGCCAATCCCCTTGAGGAAGGACCTCCTTTCCTAAGCGAAGGGAACAATCTGGCACCCCTGTCCTGGAAATATGGGCCCTGCATCTTTGGCCCCTCGACGGGAGCCTGTGGACCTACCAGCAAGTGTCCTGAACACTATTTCTGAGGCTAGAGCTCCATCAACTAGACGCCTCTATGTCCTTACATGGTCTCTCTTCTCCGACTGGTGTGCAGCTCGGGGTGAAGACCCGACAACCTGTGACATCCCACAGGTTCTGTCTTTTCTTCAAGAGCTATTGGATAAGGGCCGTACCCCTTCCATGCTCAAGGTCTACAACCTGGTTGTTCGTTTTCTGAGGGAGTCCAGGAGGCGAAATCCGCCACGCCCTCTCACGGTTCCCGCATGGGACTTGTCCACTGTCCTCAGGGCCCTCCCTTCAAGCCACTCCAGCTGGCCGACTTACGACCCCTTTTGCTAAAGACCTCCCTCCTGCTAGCCCTAGCATCGGTCAAGCGAGTGGGTGACTTGCAGGGGCTCTCTGTGAGCCCCTCCTGCCTTGAGTTCAGGCCTAATGACTGTAAGGTCATCCTCAAACCAAGGCATGGCTATGTGCCCAAAGTGCTCTCAACTCCGTTCAGAGCACAGGTTGTTTCTCTATCTGCTTTTTACCTAGCTGCGGATGAGCAGGCGCCTCGTTTACTCTGCCCTGTTTGGGCTTTAAGAGTATATATTAAGCGGACGGCCCCGTTTAGGCAGTCTGAGCAGCTTTCCGTGTGCTTCAGCAGCCGCACCAAAGGTCATCCGGTCACGAAGCAGATGCTATCCCACTGGATAGTAGATACAATCGCTTTGGCTTACACTTCTATGGGCCTACAATGCCCCATCAAAGTTAAAGCACACTCAACTAGAGGCATGGCCTCTTCCTGGGCGCGGTCCAGCGGAGTTTCCATCGGCGACATCTGTGCCGTGGCCGGCTGGTCCTCACTATCCACCTTCGCCAGATTCTATTGCCGCTTTTCCACTGCATGGTACGGTATGGCTTGGCTCGTTACGGCTCACATGTGGCGCTTTTCCACTGCATGGTACGGTATGGCACGGTTCGGTACGGCTCACTTATGGCGCTTTTCCACTGCATGGTACGGTATGGCTCGGTTCGGTACGGCTCACTTATGGCGCTTTTCCACTGCATGGTACGGTATGGCACGGTTCGGTACGGCTCACTTATGGCGCTTTTCCACTGCATGGTACGGTATGGCACGGTTCGGTACGGCTCACTTATGGCGCTTTTCCACTGCATGGTACGGTATGGCTCGGTTCGGTACGGCTCACTTGTGGCGCTTTTCCACTGCATGGTACGGTATGGCACGGTTCGGTACGGCTCACTTATGGCGCTTTTCCACTGCATGGTACGGTATGGCACGGTTCGGTACGGCTCACTTATGGCGCTTTTCCACTGCATGGTACGGTATGGCTCGGTTCGGTACGGCTCACTTGTGGCGCTTTTCCACTGCATGGTACGGTATGGCTCGGTTCGGTGCGGCTCACTTATGGCGCTTTTCCACTGCATGGTACGGTATGGCACGGTTCGGTACGGCTCACTTGTGGCGCTTTTCCACTGCATGGTACGGTACGGTATGGCACGGTTCGGTACGGCTCACTTGTGGCGTTTTTCCACTGCATGGTACGGTATGGCTCGGTTTGGTACAGCTCACTTGTGGCGCTTTTCCACTGCATGGTACGGTATGGCACGGTTCGGTACGGCTCACTTATGGCGTTTTTCCACTGCATGGTACGGTATGGCTCGGTTCGGTACGGCTCACTTGTGGCGCTTTTCCACTGCATGGTACGGTATGGCACGGTTCGGTACGGCTCACTTGTGGCGTTTTTCCACTGCATGGTACGGTATAGCTCGGGTTGGTACAGCTCACTTGTGGCGCTTTTCCACTGCATGGTACGGTATGGCACGGTTCGGTACGGCTCACTTATGGCGTTTTTCCACTGCATGGTACGGTATGACTCGGTTCGGTACGGCTCACTTGTGGCGCTTTTCCACTGCATGGTACGGTACGGTATGGCTCGGTTCGGTACGGCTCACTTGTGGCGCTTTTCCACTGCATGGTACGGTACGGTATGGCACGGTTCGGTACGGCTCACTTGTGGCGTTTTTCCACTGCATGGTACGGTATGGCTCGGTTTGGTACAGCTCACTTGTGGCGTTTTTCCACTGCATGGTACGGTATGGCTCGGTTCGGTACGGCTCACTTGTGGCGCTTTTCCACTGCATGGTACGGTATGGCACGGTTCGGTACGGCTCACTTGTGGCGTTTTTCCACTGCATGGTACGGTATGGCACGGTTCGGTACGGCTCACTTATGGCGCTTTTCCACTGCATGGTACGGTATGGCACGGTTCGGTACGGCTCACTTATGGCGCTTTTCCACTGCATGGTACGGTATGGCTCGGTTCGGTACGGCTCACTTGTGGCGCTTTTCCACTGCATGGTACGGTATGGCACGGTTCGGTACGGCTCACTTATGGCGCTTTTCCACTGCATGGTACGGTATGGCACGGTTCGGTACGGCTCACTTATGGCGCTTTTCCACTGCATGGTACGGTATGGCTCGGTTCGGTACGGCTCACTTGTGGCGCTTTTCCACTGCATGGTACGGTATGGCTCGGTTCGGTACGGCTCACTTATGGCGCTTTTCCACTGCATGGTACGGTATGGCACGGTTCGGTACGGCTCACTTGTGGCGCTTTTCCACTGCATGGTACGGTACGGTATGGCACGGTTCGGTACGGCTCACTTGTGGCGTTTTTCCACTGCATGGTACGGTATGGCTCGGTTTGGTACAGCTCACTTGTGGCGCTTTTCCACTGCATGGTACGGTATGGCACGGTTCGGTACGGCTCACTTATGGCGTTTTTCCACTGCATGGTACGGTATGACTCGGTTCGGTACGGCTCACTTGTGGCGCTTTTCCACTGCATGGTACGGTACGGTATGGCTCGGTTCGGTACGGCTCACTTGTGGCGCTTTTCCACTGCATGGTACGGTACGGTATGGCACGGTTCGGTACGGCTCACTTGTGGCGTTTTTCCACTGCATGGTACGGTATGGCTCGGTTTGGTACAGCTCACTTGTGGCGTTTTTCCACTGCATGGTACGGTATGGCTCGGTTCGGTACGGCTCACTTGTGGCGCTTTTCCACTGCATGGTACGGTATGGCACGGTTCGGTACGGCTCACTTGTGGCGTTTTTCCACTGCATGGTACGGTATGGCTCGGTTTGGTACAGCTCACTTGTGGCGTTTTTCCACTGCATGGTACGGTATGGCTCGGTTTGGTACAGCTCACTTGTGGCGTTTTTCCACTGCATGGTACGGTATGGCTCGGTTTGGTACAGCTCACTTGTGGCGTTTTTCCACTGCATGGTACGGTATGGCTCGGTTTGGTACGGCTCACTTGTGGCGCTTTTCCACTGCATGGTACGGTATGGCACGGTTCGGTACGGCTCACTTGTGGCGTTTTTCCACTGCATGGTACGGTATGGCACGGTTCGGTACGGCTCACTTATGGCGTTTTTCCACTGCATGGTACGGTATGGCTCGGTACGGCTCACTTGTGGCGCTTTTCCACTTTATGGTACGGTACGGTATGGATCGCTTCGGCTCGCTTTAAATGGTACCACCTCTGTTGAGGTTCCAAGCGTACCGTACCGATACTAAAATGTGATTGGTCACAATCACTGATTGGTCAGACAGAATCGTCACTACCAGCGCCATTGTATTTGCGAGACATCAAACCCGCTAGATTTAAATAGCCAGTAACAGTCACCGCTGTAGCACCTGTTTTAAAACTACTTGCTTGACGAAAAAAGAAATGGCTGAATCGTTGTCAGTGGACGAAGTGCAGACATTCCTCTCGTTGGTTGCCGATGAGCGGATAAACTATAACGATCAGACTATAATCCCACCCACTTTGAAGCGGTACTAACTGCAGTGGAAAAGCAAACCGAGCTAAAGCGAACCGAGCCGTGCCGTACCATGCAGTGGAAAAGCACCATATAACTTAGAGGTTCCCGTGCAATAAGCACAGGTCCTGTCTGTGCAAGCGGAGCTTTGACCTCTATACGAGTTCAACCCTTATGTGGCTCTGACGCAGGTCAGAGTCCTGTCTCTGGCTACTATACAGCCCTGGTTAGCCTTAGCACCCTTGGGCCCTTATACAAACACCCTAGGTCTGGGCCCTGGAATGGCTGTCGTTCCGCAGTTCTAAGTATGACATGTTTGGACTGGGTTTCCATTGCATTCCATTCCATCGGGTTACTAACGTAACCTCGGTTCCCTGAGATAACGGGAACGAGTACTGAGTATCCGGCCGTGCTATCATGCTGCACAACTTGGCGTATCGTGGCTTCAGTCAAACTAACCTGATTCCTATGGCCAGAATGCCTGCTTATAGAGGGCTGGCCCCACCCATATCGGTGGGTTTTCAGGGCATAGGTTCTCAAAACAGAGCGACCACTGGCTCGTGCATTTGCACTGCTTGATTTTATTAAAACTTCAGTAAATCAGAGAAAAAGGAGTTTTCCCCATTGCGTCTAGGGACGTGGTACTCGTTCCCGCTATCTCAGTAACAGATTACATTATGTTAGTAACAGAGTACGATATCTTGAAGAGACGCCACCTAAAAGTTTTCATTCTTTCTTGTAGTACAAATGACTGCTGTGAAATTGAGACAATTTTACCAATCGCACTGAGACATTTAAAATGATACTAAACATGAAAGGTGTTACGTACGCTGTGCTATTTTTTTGGGGGGCATATGTTGTTGCATATGGGTGTGTGTGTGTGTGTGTGTGTACCCTGTCTGTTTCAGGTGTGAAATTCGATTGGAGGATCGGCCTTTGTCAGTCTGTTGATGTAAGACGCTGACGTCTAGGATGAGCAGTTTATGAATTGCTCTAACTTCAATGGCGACAGTCAGAGAGAGACAGACTCTGGGTTGGGTGAGGGCACGCTCTGTGAGGACGGTTCTCTATATGGGAAGCCAAACACATCGAAAGTGAGACGAAACGGCGCTGTGTTACAGAGCTCGCATGTCATCTGCGTTGTTGTTGTCAAGTTCTACATCATTGCAGTGATATCCCATTTTTAAATCAGAATTTCATTATTAAAACAGTAATATAATAATAATAATATATCGATGTATTTATAGAAATAGAAGGCATTTGTAACATTGCTTTACTATCACTCACTTTTGATCAATTTAATGCATCCTAATAACAACCAAAGCAGTTAGCAACATGATGACAACCAGTCACCGGACTTTAAAGGGCACAAGCATTTAAAGAGAAAGACAACAAAACTGCAGTGCGCATTTATAATAAAAAGGACCTGGTTTCGTGCGTTAGAGTGGATGATTTATAAAAAATTATAATAAATATTCCAATAATTTTAACATTTTTACTCGTAACCTTTCTAGAGCTAACAACAATACTTATACAGTCCAGTAACAGACTTATTACAAGACAGCACTTGCAAGACAGCAAGACAGCCTTTAATTGCATGAAATAAAAACAATGACCGCATATGATAAAGGGTTGTTAGGCATGCCACTAAAAAAACAGCAATATAAAGTAGTTTTTTTTAAAACAGAAAAACATAGATTCCTTAACTTTATTTATAGTGAATTTTAAATAGCATGCTGATGATGCAGGAATAGTGTGCGAGGTACTTTAAACTGTGTGCATATGTGCTCTCGTCTTGGCACAATACTGTTATTTCTTTAAAAAATTTACTTGTGGTAATGGCAGTTCTAAGATGCAATATCCAATTTGATCTATAAAACCACCATCTCATCACTGTACATCATCTCAATAAGTACAATGTTTCCAGGGCCATGAAAGAATATGAATTTAAAGCTACAGTTATTGCGAGCAACAGGTGGTTTAAATTGTAATTAATGTTTTATGGTGTTTTATAACTGTAAATTCACACAAATGAATACCGTTAGCAAATAAAAATGTAGAAAGCTAGAGTGTGTTATTTTTGCACCACTAGCCGCAAAATTGACAATTCACCCAATACTCAATAGAAATATTACCCATTAGTACATAATTATGGCTACATTCAGGCATTTTAAGCCTGAAACAAAAATACAGCAACAAAAAAATTAAATAAAACAAATAACTAGAGAAAGGATGGTTTCAATGGAACAATTAAGTGCTCAAGATCACAGTGGTGACATGAAGATCACAGTAACCCATCATGGGTCACTCCTAGCAGGAGAAGGTAAGTGTTATCTGCAGTGTAAAGGTGCGGTCACAGCCACAAAAAAATCGAGGCATTCCAATAGGAATCCACACAATTGCGATTTCCCCACATGCAAATTCGCTGCCTTGAACAAGTGTGCAGCAAACGTCCTGAAGCCAAAACCTTTATATCGCCCCCTGGTGGCTGGCTGCAGTATAGGTCCTAAACCTTGCCCTCTCCATGTAATCGAATGGGACATGAATCAAACTAAAAAAATCCAATTACACTTAAAAAAAAAAAAAAAAAAAAAAACCAAAGACGGTTTCTGTAATTTTAGTAAGTTCTTAGTTCATGTTGATGCATGTTCAAGTGTTCAAGATGAAATGTCATAGACATTGACTGACAGCTGTGCTTGCAATTGAGTTTTCCCCTCACTATCACTACTATGCAGACGCTGGCTCCAAATGATGTTATCAGTGCAAGATGTCAACTGTCTTTTCTGGGACGTTTTGACAAGCCCTTTTTTTACTGTCTTTGGCATTGACCAACAGAAAGCTGCTTCATAAGTCACTATTGACAACGCAGCTTTCTGCCCACAAAATTACAGCTAAATTTGGTAAATGTAACTACACTTTAAAGGTACAGTCACATTAGTGAAATTTCATGTGAAAAATGTTCATTGACCAAACATGAACATGAGCGAAATCTGCTTGGGGAACTTTTTTGCCCTAATGCGAAACTCCCAATCGCACAGATTCTTATTGGAATGACTGGATTTTCAACCTTGAAAATTCTGCCAAGCGCTGGTAAACGTGACCGCACCTTAAGATGCTCTAGAAGCACGGTGAAAATGCTCGAGAGCCTAATGTAAATGTATTGGGCCCACTCAATTTAAAACTCCCAGCAGCCCAGTCATTGGAATTTCACACACACACACACACACACACACACACACACACACACACACACACACACACACACACACACACACACACACACACACACACACACACACACACACACACTCACACACACTCACACACACACACACACACACACACACACACACACACACACACACACACACACACACACACACACACACACACACACACACACACACACACAGTTTTAGAATTACTATTTGAGGTCCTTAAAAATATATAAAACCCTAATGTTCAGAGGTGATGTTTTTTTTTAAATGTTTACTGCTCAGAGTCTAAAATTGGAATACATTTTTAATAAAAGAAAATATAAACAAATTCAAGGGGAAAGAAACCTGAAGAAGTAAACAAGGAGGATGACAGAGCATTTACTCTTAGGTTACTGCAAATTGTGCTAAAGTCACTAAATTACTTCAGAAACGGTTCACTGTGTTTTGTAAAAGTGCATTGCGATACAAGGAGATATAAATAATACACTGGAGCTCTATTGTGTTTCTCTGAACTTGACTTATTTGTACATTTATCACTGATGCTTTCAGGTGCAATAATCTATATGAAATCAAAAGGGATCGATCACAGGATCTGATCAGGGAGTCTCTCTCCTCCAGAGGTCGCAATGATCAAGCTGGTAGGATCTGAACCAGAGCTTCACGAGCACCCTGTCCCAACTTGTCCGGAAATTTCACTAAGAACTCGAGCACCATGTCTCCTTTCTTTTCAGGACATTTGGACAGAGGCAGTCCTTCTCCCACTATCCTCTTCTTCATACCAGGCTTGATAACATCACGTGACGTCACTGTGACAGTTCTGCCGTCCAAGGTGGGAGCGCTGATGGTGCAGCCGCATAGAGCCTGGAAAGAGTGAAAGAAAGAGGGAGAAAAGAAAAGACAAAAAGACACAAGATTAACTTTTACCTTCACTCCTCTTCTTTTAAATCTACTTTTCTCATTTATTTACAATACATCAACCTGAAATAGTAAATAATAATGCGTAGAAATGAACATTAACCTAGATTAATAAATGCTGCCATAGCTCATTCTTTGTTCATGATGGCTAATGTATAAACTAATGTTAATAAATTGAACCTTATTTATCCCAGGGCTCCACAATTAATCAAAATAAAACCAAAATCACAATATGGCTTGATCTGATTATCAAATCGCAAAAGCTGCAATTTAATTCCACAAATATATGCTATTCTGCATGTTTCAGAGTGAAGCGCGGCACTGTGTGTGTTTATACGTGAGCAGCTCATGATCTGGTATTTTCAGTGTCTCAGAGAGGCTCGATTCACAGTAAATGCTGCTCCACACACAAAAAAATAAGTTTTCAAAATGTAAAAAAAAATTAGCAAACAAATATCGCAACTAGACCCACCCCCCGTAATTCTGCTTTTAAAAGATTGGTTAATAAATCTCTCTACTGTACTCAAACACTTTTAATAAGCTTAACAGAAGTTCACTGGTGTACATTACAGGACGTTAAGTAACTTTATCTCAGCAGCAGACACTAGACACTCACCTCTCGGAGGGATATCTTTGCAGGGTAGACGATGTCAGAGCCATCCCTCCGAAAAACAGGGTGAATCTTGTCCTTAACCACAAACACTATGTCGGCGGGAATGTTGGTTGGCGTCTCGTCTCCCTCTTTGGGAAAGGTTATCTTGGTCCCCTCCTTCCAGCCCCGTTTGATGTCCACGGTGAGGATCTTGTCTTCGGTGCGCATGGTGCGGCCATCCGGGTTCAGCCTCTTGCGAGAGATCTTCATCTTCTTGGTGCAACCAGAGAACACTTCTTCCAGGCTCACTTTGAGCTCGTGCACCACTGGCGGATCTTTCTTCTTTTCTCGGGCCCTGTGCGGACCGCCTGCCCGAGACTTGAAGGATCTGGGAAATCCGCCCATTCCTCCCATTCCGAAGGCTGCAAAGGGGTCGTCAATGTCCATGTCATCATCTACACCGCCAGCGGATGCAAAAAACTGATCAAACGGGCTACGGCCACCAAAGAACTCTGCAAACATGGCGTGAGGATCACCATGAAAAGTATAGCTGGGGCCATTGGGGCCACTTCCGGCATGTCCTTTGAGCCCTGCGGAAAAAACAATGATGTTTGTGGAAAACAGCAAGTCAATATTGAGGGAAATATAAAAACAGCATACTGTGTATAGAAAGAGCAGAACCAGCTCACAGGAATGATCCAGTCACACTGTACAGTTTGAATTCTTAATCTGGAGATCAGAGCCGGTTTCATAAAGTCCCTCGCCGATTCCACACTACAAGCTCCTGTGTTTGCAACATTCAGAGAAAACTCAAACGGTCACCAAAGGTCATCAGGCTTCACTCAGAGAAGCTAAAGCTTAAGTGTATGCACTACTGAGGGTGCTCACTGAGTCCATGCATGCCACACTTAAGGCCCCGATATACTTTGAGTAAAATCAAAGAACCAATGTGTGTGACGTCAGTTCAAACTAAAGTTGGCCAAAACGAGGGCTGCACGATACAGGGGGACTTTTTTTATTTGAGGGGGAGCTGTGTGTGTGGGAGCATATTTTAGACATTTATCTCACCTAAATGTTTGCTCACTCACTGTATTTCTGTTTTTACAATGGGATAATGTTGTTGCTTAAAGGGATACTCCACTTTTTTTGGAAATAGGCTCATTTTACAACTCCCCCAGAGTTAAAATGTTGAGTTTTACCGTTTTTGAATCCATTCAGCCGATCTCCGGTTCTGGCGGTACCACTTTTAGCATAGCTTAGCATACATCATTGAAGTGGACAAGACCATTAGCATTTAAAAAAAAAAAAAAAATGACCAAAGAGTTTCGATATTTTTCCTATTTAAAACTTGACTCTTCTGTAGTTACATCGTGCACTAAGACCGACGGAAAATGTAAAGTTGCGATTTTCTAAGCTGATATGGCTAGGAACTATACTCTCATTCCTGCGTAATAATCAAGAAACTTTACTGCCGTACCATGAGTGCAGCAGGTGTAATGATATGACGCAGCGCCTGAAAATAGGGTACCTTCCGTCAACACAACGGAACTATTTTCAGGCGCTGCGTCATATCATTACGCCTGCTGCTCTCATGGTACGGCAGTAAAGTACCGCCAGAACCGGAGATCGGCTGAATGGATTCAAAAACGGTAAAACTCAACAGTTTAACTCTGGGGGAGTTGTAAAATGAGCCTATTTCCAAAAAAAGTGGAGTATCCCTTTAAGAGTTTACACAACATAAGGAAGCTTAATTTCAATCTTTGAATAGAATTTTAAAAAAGTAGCACAAATAAATACAGTAGAATAAAGATACAAATTAAATAGAGAGAAACGTTTTTTGGGTAGGTGTATTCAGAAGTATTCAGGTAAAGAAATACAACAGAAACTGAATAATTAAATGTAAAAAAATAACACTGAATAGTCTTTTAGTCCTCTGTAAAATAAATACATAGGCTATTAATCCTGATTCCTTACAATTAAAGCATTCTTTTGTTGTTTTATAAACGTTAATGACAGACACATATTAGGCTGCTGTCACTTTAAGAGCTAGTGCACGGATCCATTATACGGTTACACATGCGTTTTCTATCTCAACCGGCTGTGTTTTTGAGGATACTCGCCAATAAACCGCAAAAATGAACTCAGTTTTGTTATTCGCGAGCTGTTTGTGATGCGGATTATGTACGTGTGCAGAGAAAACTATCTCTCAGAGAGCGCGTGAGTAGAGTACTGAATAGTTTAAAATCGCTTAAAGGTTTAAATTGGCAAGACTTTAAAAAGACATTAATGATAAACTTTACATGCAACACTGGCCCGATTATGGAAGTCAACTGTCCCGAAACGCAAGAGTCTAGTATCACCACCTGCAGCGTGCTTGACGCCTTGTGCAATGTGGTGATGTGACGCACATTTAGAGAGAGAGAGAAGACGCAGCACCGCTCAATCACTCACGCTGTTTATGAAATTACGTCTCGCAAAAAGTTTTAAAATGACTGATTTAATCTTATAATCTGCATGGATTAATTTACTCACAACCTGAACCTACATGCTGAAGTAAATAAATGTTTGTGGGATTTTCCCGCATTAGAAGCGCGAGACTAGCGGGAATGATTCAAATTACGCGTAAATCCTTGCAAACCTGTGTCGAAATTCCCGAATTCAGTTCTCTTCCACAGCTTAATGGCCAAATATACACAAATTATGTCAAAATGCCCATCTTGGTGAGTATTCACATAAACACAGTTGGTTACGTCTTAAGTGGAGTAAACAGTTCAGAAAGAAGGTGCGCGGGTAACAATATATTGGATCTGTGCAGCTCTTAAAGTGACAGCAGCCTAATAAATCTGCTTCCGTCTGTGTGATTAATGTTAATCAAACAACAAAAGACAAATAGAAAACCACTCACTGCTCTTTGTTGAATAATTTATGTAGCTTTAATAAGAATCAGTATTTTAAATTCATTATTGATTAGGCTATTCAATATCTGTTGTTAAATAAACCTAACGTAGGCCTACATGAAACCCTAAACCTTGCTGCTTTACACTGACATTAAAATGACGCTTACTTTTTATGTAGCTAATGCTACAGTAAAACACTATGGATCGCTTTCAGAAGTTTTTACACATTTAAAGGGGCACTTGGCAACTCTAGTCATTTCTTCGCTGATTTTCACTCTTGTTGTCGCATGTTGTCTCATCGAGCTCCCCCTACAGCTGTGCGGCGTATATTTTCACAACACTGTCATAAAAAAACTCACTTGCGGCACCTTCCACCCGCTTTCTACCGATGCTCATGTGCATTTGTTATTATCGGAGCCGGACAACTTTATCGTGTGGAGCTATGTCTAACGAGTGGGTAATACATCATACACAGTATCCTAGAATTATGTTGAATTACCATAAAGCAGTTTGTGTTTCTCGCTCGTTCTCGCTTCTCACAAGACTTCCTATTTCCAACTTACCGGGACGTTAGTCCCCATTGCAAGGTTAGTTTTCTACCTGGGGACGCTGGGGGGAGCGGGGAAAGTCACCATTCTCTCCAGAACAGGTTATTGAACCATTCAAATGATTTCTAAACGGTTTTATTAAGTTGAAATAGTTGCCAAGTGCCCCTTTAAAGCATTATCATGCATTAAGCATTATCGAATATCGCATTTTTTTATTGCATACCACATTTTTCTTCGATATCGTGCAGCCCTAGCCAAAACGATGTTCGTTTGGAGCTCATTTCGAAGGTTTGAAACAGCTCACCGACGCAAACTTTCAGGAAAACTTTAAAATACCTTCGAACTGCCATTGGTCTGTGGTAATTACTTAACAGGTAGGTGCGGCTTTGTGGCTCTGAATCTTTTCAGGCTAATTTCTAGTGTTCTGGTGTTCACCTATAGCCTGGTTAAAACCAGACCATTCTCAGTTGTAACTGAGTTATGGTCTGGCAAAGCGTCATAGACAAATAATTTCCAGAGGGGCGTCACCAACGGACGTCGCAGATAGACCTAAACCCAATCAGAGCGATGAAGGAGATGACGTATGCAGAGCGCCAGAGAAACATCTCAGAGAGTGTTGTTCTTTGCTCGGTTTTTAACAAAAAGGAAACGTTCAAATCACTTAAAACTAAATAGCTGATAGCTGATTCGAACGAGTGATGTTCGACGGCGGCATCCATCTTTGTAATGTAGGCTACAAAATCTGCTTCAAAATCCCAGCGCTGTCGTCATCGTGTAAAGCCCGCCCCAACGTTTCTGATTGGTGCCGCGATTTCGACGGACTGGAAATGGGCTTGAATGAGCTCTTCGCCAGACTAACTTTCAGAGCAAATCTAAATTTGCCGGAAGTTGTCTGGGTTTTCCCAGGCTAGTTCACCTAGGTCAAACACCAGTGAAAACTGACAGTTTTTTTCATGTTTGATGGTGGAAAGCTGCTTTAAAGCTTGGCTATCCGTATTAAAGCACTTTATAAATAAATGAGACTTGATTTCAGAGCTGGTGGAAACATATTCACATCCTTTATGATGCTTTTAATAACTGCGCACATATTTAGTCTGAATATTAATTTAAACCCCAGTCCTAGAAACAAGGGTGACGCGTGAATGTATGCAAAGTCAAACAGTGTACTGTTTCTCCGTGTTTTCAAACTTCTTTTCACCCTCAAGCGACAAAGAACTTCGGCGCGAGTATATCGGGCCTTTAAAGTAAAGAAAAGCAGAAGCAAATCTGCTTATCTGTGTATCTGTCTGTCTGTACTTCTTTATGTCAATTTAACTTTGAAAAATAACTAAAAGTTGTACCAGGGAACCATCACAGCACATTTTTTAAGGGATATCTATCTATCTATCTGTCAGTTTGTCTGTGTATCTGTCTATCTCTATTTATCTGTCTGCCATTTTTTCTATCTGTCTATCAATTTGTCTTTCTATCTGTCAATTTATCTATCTATATATCCATCTATCTATCTGTCAATTTGTCTGTGTATCTATCTATTTATCAATCATCTGTCTATCTATATGTCTATCTGTCGATTTTTCTGTGTATCTGTCTCCGTCTGTCAACTTGTCTGTGTATTTATATATCTCTGTCTACTTATCTGTCTGTCAATTGTTCTATCAGTCAGTCAATTTGTCTTTCTATCTGTCTATCTGTCTATCTATCTATCTATCTATCTATCTATCTATCTATCTATTTGTCTGTGTATCCATCCATTTGTCTGTCTGTTTGCCTGTCTGTCAATTTGTCTATCTATATGTCTGTCAATTGTTTGTCTTTATATCTGTTTTAATTTATTTATCTATATCTATCTATCTTTTAATTTGAATTTATATATTTCTGTCTGTCAATCTAGCTGCCTGTCTATCTATCTATCTGTCAGTTTGTCTGTGTATCTATCTGTACATGTGTCTATATCTGTCTATCCATCCGTCTGCCTATCTATCCATCTATCTATCTACCTATCTATCGGTCAATTTGTCTGTGTATCTATCTGTATATGTGTCTATATCTATCCATCCATCCATCTATCCATCCGTCTGCCTATCTATCCATCTATCTATCTATCTATCTATCTATCTAGTAATAATTCAGTACCAAATATATCAAAGAACCATATTATTACTATCAAAAATTATCACAGTACTTTGTAAGGACTATCTGACTATCTACATATCAATCTATAGTGGGACAATGACAGCTCTTACCATCCTCTCCATATCTGTCATAGATGTCTTTCTTCTTGGAATCGCTCAGGACATCATAAGCCTCGGCGATCTCTTTGAATTTATCTTCTGCTCCGGCTGCTTTGTTTTTGTCGGGATGAAATCTTAAAGCTTGTTTTCTGTAGGCTTTCTTGATCTCTTCATCAGAGGCGCCCTTCTCTATGCCCAGGACCCTGTAATAATCTTTACCCATCACAACACTGGACTAAAACTCCTCTAACATTCAACTACCTGTTTCCATATGTAGAAATCCTCCAAATATTGAAAGATTTGATTAATTTTAAATGTACTGTCCTATCGAACATGAAGCGCGCGGATGGAGTTCATCAAACTGTCTGCAAGTTATTTATCCAAATCCTCATTTATCGCACACAGCAGCTGCCGCATCCCCGAAATATGTGCCCATTTTCCCGAGACTGTCCTAACTTGAGTCGATATAAAACTTTAATATCACACAGTGTTCCCGGCTCACACACTGTAGTGAAGTTGTCAACGTATCCGTCCGCAGAAAGTCCGAGAAAACGACTTGCTCACTGGTGCTGCAGATGCAGATTCTGCGACTGAACGAGCGCCTCGTGTGGAGAGGAGTGTTCACTGCACACAGACTACAGCAGCAAGAGTGGGCCGCCCCCCCAAAACAATGGTAGGGGAAACACTGACTTGGGACTAAATTTGCTCACTTTTTAGTCTATATAAGTATACTTTTAAATATAGGCTATACTTTACAGTAGTAGCCTAAACTTTGAGTGCACAACTAGTTTGCAAATAAGTTTTTCGTTTGTACTGCAAGTATACTACAAGTGATAGGCTAGGTATAGCCTATACTGATAGATATTAGTCAAATATTTGTAGCACATTTTTTAGTTTATGAAAGTACACATCTCAGTAAACTACTAGTTTAGTTTTATACTGCAAGTATACTTGTAAGTTTTCTTTAAGTGAACATAACATCATAGTTTACTATTTATATATTATGTTTGCACTACTAGCCTATGTTCCTATTTAGGCATTAATATTACTTGAAATAATTGTAGCCTACTCTAAGTCGAATTGAAGTAAATTCCTAAGTACACTACCCGTGGACTACACAATAATTCACATACTCAGAATTAGGAACATTCTAATAAATCCATATATTTCAAACAATGTAAGTTTATAAGAGAGTATGTAAAACTATGTGGAAAAAAGTATTTGAAGTAATATTGACATCTAGCGGTTGAAATGGGTACTGCAGTCCAAATTCAAAATATTGGAGGGTTGTTTGGTTGTTTCTCCCGCCCCCCTCCTCCTCAGACTCGACGCTCACGCGGGGTTGCCAGTTGAGAAGTTACGCAACAGGAACGAGCGCAATGGACAATGGAGAGACTTACACACTGTAAGTTGATGAGTTGATTTATCCTTGTTTTAATTTGCCTCTGCTCTGAACATAGAGCTGTTTAGATGGATTCCGGGGATTGTTAGGTAACGTTAGCCTATTGTAGAGTATGCGATCTCTGTCACGGTTTGATGGCTTCCATTGCTACAATACGCTGTGTTTTCCGCCAACTGGCAACCAAGAGTGTCGAAACACTATTGGTTAAATTGGCAGTGGACGGAGTCACACACAGACCAAGACCAAAACAAAAACAGACATCCGACACGGAAAGCACATTTCAAATAACGGCTGTAGCATATTGTTTTTCAGAGAAACGAGTATGTGAGCATGTTTCCTAAATCTCTGCAAACATATTATAATATTTTTATGCTTTAGTACAGTAAAAAATAAGTACATACAAATGAGTAAACACAACTACAAACAAAGTATACTTATACTTAATTACTTATCAATAGCCTATGTCTCGAGTAGGCTACAAGTCAAATATACTTCTGTACAAGTCAAGTATACTTTAAGTAGGCTATATTTCTGAGAAGTACAGTGCTTAACAAATTTATTAGACCTCCGTGTAAGGTTTGTGCCACAGCTGATTGGGAAGTCAATTACAGAGACTGGAAAAGTACATAAAATCAATGCCAGCAAGCTGTTATGAAGGCCAAAGGACCCCATACAAACAGGTACACGTTTTTTTTATTATTATGTGTGAATAAAGACTATTTAGTTGTTTCAGTTTGTTATTTGCCCAATTAATGACAATAAAATTGTTAGTTTTAAACAAGTTTTGACAGATTCCTAAAATATTTGTTTTCTCTTTTTATTAAGAGAGGTGGTCTAATACATTTGTTAAGCACCGTATATAAATGATTTAAATATTATATTTATATATATCTAAGTATAAAGGGTAGACTGAAAGTTTGCTTTCTTATTTTTAGTTTAAAACAAGTATACTAATAGCACACTTGAATGAACCTTTTTGTTGCTGTAAGGGTTGCTATAGGTTCATGCTAAACATGGCCTTATTATGTTGTATGTGATTTGTGTAAAAAGGTGTTCAGGTAAAAAGGTAGTAAAATAATGAATCCAGTTTTTTTTCTATTACATTAGATTACATTAGCATCCAGTTGTAATCTTTTTACAGGCTATAGTGTATACATATATATACACACACATTAGATTACATTATATACATTATACATTATATTAGATTTTGTACAAAGAAAACTCAGTGCATACATATACTACAGAAATAGTATATTGTACTATATTAGCATGCTATTCCAAACAAAGCTGGAACTCAGTCTCACAATCCTTAAAAAAGAGAGCAATTTAGTGAAGGTATCAAATAGTAATGCATAGGCCTATACTAGAGAATGGCATTCCAAGGTATGTCAAAAAATATCAGGGTATACTACCATGATTTCACACCATGGTATGAACCACTGAAGAGCTCGCATGACAGATGCTGCGTTAGACTATACACTGAAATGAGGTGTCATGATAATATGTTGTTCTGAAAATGTATAGCTTTGAAATGTGGAAACAGACCAAGAGTGGTGTACAATTTTTCTCATCTCATGTCTTGACAAGTACACAGTAAAACTGCAAAGCAAAATGTTGTAGTCAAACGTAATCTGAGCTCTTGTTTGATTCCATGTGTGCGCGGTCAGCACACCATGATCATTCAAGCTGCAGTTAAAGTAGGCAAACAAATATAGGCTTTCTGCACACATGGCTAAACTTATCTGAGAGAGACATCATTTCATTTCATCTGAGCATGTGTGCAGTGCCTTGCAAATTGATTTCAGAGCTTTCTCAATGAATATATTTCCTAAAAATGACTTTTCTTTGCATTTTAATATTTGTGATTTCACGTCCCACTGAATACAACTCAAAATCAGAGGTTTAAAAACATTACACATTGTCGAATTTTTCAACTAAAAACTTTGTATGCGTTTTGGCCGTTCATTTACACGTTAACAGCGTTTTGGGGACTTGAAAACGCAAACTTTTGAAATCTGGTTTTAAAGTGCAAGTTTTTGAAAACGATACTCTTATCGTCTCAGTGTGAACTACAAAAATGTGAATTTGTGAAAGCGGTGATGTCATAAGCATGCGTAACACAGTCTACATCCGCGTACGTAGTGTTTCTTTACAAAGTGAAGTCGCCAACTACTGGCCTGGCATGAATAATACAGCGTTTTTAGTTCTTTTCGTGGATCCGTGTGAACGGGGATCGTTTCGACAGCGTTGTCGTCTACGCGGAAAAAGCAAAGGAAGAAATTTCCCGTTTTTAGTACATCGTTGTCGTGTAAAAATACCCTTTTCCCTCATTGAAATAAACTCTTTCATGATTTGAATTGATATTCTGTGATTAGAAATTCAGAATATAAAACAAACTAAATATAATCTGTTGTTCTGTACCATATAAAAACAAAATAGTGTTATTAGAATTAATTAGAACTAATAAAAATGAATAAAAACTACTAAAAATGACAAAAACGATTTTGGCGGAAAAATAAAAACCTAATTCAAAATATTAATATAAACCATAATAGTATTTCAATAATACTAAAATAACACTGTTCTGTACAATCCTGTACATTCCTCAAAGCCCGAGAACAGGTGATGGAAACTAACTAACTGCCCGTGTAAATATACCGGATAACTCAAGACACTTTGCCTCTCAGTATGTTTGTCTGATCTGCTTACGGCTGACAGACACAAATGAGTTGTGTTCGGCAGTGACTTGCCCAAACCTAATGTGTGAACCACTAGGGACCAGAGAAGTGGCTTATTTATTGAAGCCAAGTCCAATCTCTGGTGTGGCCATGGACAAACTCAAATAGATTCATTGCATGACACTGCTTGCAATGCAAATGTATTAATATCCCCGGCTGTAGAGATGCACACTAACCTAACCCTAGAGTAGGCGCTGTGTAGGTACGAGCCACGTCCTACTGAACTGGCCTGAGTCCCACAAGGTCACGGGGCTTCCTGCTTTCAAATTTAGCTTCATGAAAAGCCATGGATTATGTCTTGGGACTCTCATATTTCGTCTTCAGAGGAGTGGTTGTGATGGCCACCCCTCAGGTGTTAAGAGGTGGGAGATATTTCAATCACACTGCACTCGTTCTGTCGCTCCTCTCTGTCTGCACTGCATTCATTCAACGGAGAGGAACTTGAGTTGGGTTTTGGATTTATTATGAAGAACTTGAGGACTTATGAGTGATATGTGGGATGTGACAGACCTTTGAACTACGGACTAAACACAGGATTCAGCGTGCAGAAAGTTTGAGGAGGTGTCATGGATACGTTAGCTTTAGAGGCAAAAGCAGGAAAGACTGATGGCGCAGCAGCTCCTGCTCCCTCTAAACCCAGGCCAAAACCTCCTAAAAAAGCGAGACGAATTGTTTACTTTGAGGTGGAGATACTACATGTCAAAACCCGTGAAAAACTACTGCTCCTGGATAAGGTATGTGCTTTTTAGTGGGTTTTTTAAAAGTTTAAATACCATACAAAGGACAGACAGTTACTTGCAAACAGTGTCATGACTGTCGTGTCGTTGTTGCATTTATTTAAAAATAGTATTGTGTTTAGATTGCGACTCTCCGGCTGAACATAATAGCTACAGTCAGAGAAGTAAAGAAATCATCTGCAATCATCAGCTGTTATTAATGACAGATCGCTACAGCCAACAATAATTAGAGCACAACTAATGCTCATGCTGTAACTTTGTAGTAATAAGGTGGTCACTATCGGTCAGGTTTTGCATTAGTCATGTTGCTTTTGGAACATGATCATGTCCTCCGAGCTTCCAGAGATTCCTATGTGAGATCCATTGCTTAGACATGCATGTCGAGAATAGAGTAAACCTGATTTATGACTGCGTGAGGAGGAAAACTGCAGTAGTTAACTTATATATATATATATATATATGCTTGATAATTGAAAAACAGAATGTTGCTGTTATTATGTCCTAGATATTTAGCAGCATGTCTATCTTTCTGCAGGTAGAGCCAACAGCCACTATTTTGGACATTAAGTCTCTGTTCCACAAATCAAGTAAGTTGTGCTCTGTGCTAAAGAAGCTATGAAAACGCAAAGCCTTTCTTTAAATAGCTTTCTACTGATAAGTTGATGACATTGAAATAATGGTTTAGCAAAGTCTTACATGTCAGGCTTCAATTTCCACAGATCCACAATGGTATCCTGCCAGACAGTCTTTATGCCTGGACCCAAGTGAGTACATCTGCTTTATAACGGTTCTTTAAAATGTATTTGGACACTATAAATTAGGCCTACTTTAAAAAATCCGCCAACATGTGTGAATTAGCCTACAACTGAAATTGCTAACAAATTATCGTTTCATTATATAACAATATCAAAACAAGTGGCATGCATCGTAACATTTATTATTTTATTTTAAAACATTTCACAAAAAATGTTTAATAGTTTTCAAATTTCAGTAGTGTTCAAAATGAATATAAAAAAGTAGTGTTTATAATGAAAATAAAAAAGTGCAGTGTAAATGCATCTGATAAACATCTTAAAATACAGACATAAAATACGTCTCTAAGACGTCTCTGAGTCTGTTTGTGTGCTATCAGAGTATAGGATCATGTTCATAGTTAATGGGATGAACTACATCAGTGTGAAGAGAACTGACTACATATAGGTCACTTTTACACGGCAGCAGAATACAGTTGTCAGTCCTGTATTTGAGTCCTTAATACGGTTACGTTCACACACAGTTCACTTATTTACAGGAGTGACACCCACATTCTATAACCAAACTCACAACCATAAATTTTCAGGATTCACAAACGCATTATCGGAAAACACGCACTGTGTGAATGGAACCAGACTGGACAACTAGCTGTCCATCACGTATAAGCGGGAGAGCCTCTCTGCACTGCACAAACACGTGCCTACTGTGTGTTGCAGATTATCATCTGTGGTTTCGGTAATTTACGATGGTTTTAGATCCAGTAACTGTTCTCCACTGAAGCTGCTCCTGTCAGTTGTGTGTGCTACGCGCTACTCAAATGCTCTGGTCTCCACCAAGATATAAAGCTGCTGTCGGTTCATAAAGATCTGACTGATGAACTTGCGGCTCGATTGGACACTTGTCGTATCAAAAGTAATAAAACTTTTTAGTTTTATGGATGTTGCCTTCTTTGATATTACTTTGGTCACAGTTACTGGTAAGAGAATACAGGTTTGACTCTCGTTGCACATTCATACAGACAGTATTCGAGATGCTAGTGTAAGTTGCTGTGTGAACGGGACATTTCAAGATTCACACCTGTAAGTAAGTCTCTTAAAGAAAGCAATGTGCTATATTGATTTCAGAAGGAAAACCCTTAAGAGATGAAGATATCCTGCAGGAGCTCCCTGTGGGAACCACTGCAACCTTCTACTTTAAAGACCTGGGATCCCAGATGACCTGGGGAACTGTGAGTGTTCTGACTTACACACAAACTGAAATACAATCACATACAGCTGTGTTTCTCATTCTCAACCTTTGTGGACTCCAAGACAATTTTCAAAGGCCCCAAAAAATATTTTGGTATTTCTGCTGTAATGACAATGGTGCTGTCAGGTTGAGTTAGGCAGACGAAGATTAAGGAGCAGGGAGAGGTATATCTTAATATCAGCCGTTTAACGTTATTAATAAACAAAACAAAGATAATCCAAAACAGGAATCACAGGAGTACAAAAACATAACACCTTTGGCTTCAACTCACAGACAATACAGGACAATCGACATAACTAAACTCAGGGCTTAAATACACAAGGTAATCACAAACTCAACAAGAAACAGGTGTGCAACATAATTGGTAAGCATGGCAACAAATGAAGTCTGAGACCGTGGGGAACAAAGGAAACAGGAACAGAAAACAGGAAAACAAGGTGGACTAAAAGTCCATAAAACAGAACAAACCTGACGTAACTCCCACCTCCTGTAAGGCGCCCCTTGGCACCGTAAACAGAAACTACACTGTAGTGATGGGAGGAGGGAGAAAAACAGAAAAAAAGGTCTTGAGAAGGGAGCAGGAGGAAGCGTCCAAGGGTGGAGTTGGTAGAGGGAGGAGCCATGGAGACTATGGAGGGAGATGCCAGGGAGCGACCTATAACAGAGCCATGAGGACAAAGCCAGGGAGCGACCCAGATCCAAGTCATAAGGACAAATGCTCAAAACGCAGATGATGGAATGAGAGCATCAGCAGTGAATCCGGGCGGAACCAAGGAGACTGCTGACATAGATGGAGACTAGGGCGGAGCTGAAGGGCCAAAGACACAGGGGGACACCGCTGGTCTGGAGGGCCAAGGCGGAGCTGACGGCTTGTGGGTCCAAGGCAGAGATGGGGACTCGGAAGACCGTGGTGGAGCCAGAGCGACAGAGGACAATGGTGGAGCCAGAGCAAAGGCAAAGCCTGGTGAAGCCAAAAGGGTGAAAGGCTGAAGCGCAGCTGGAGGCCTAGAAGTCCATGGTGAAACCAGATCACGTCTGTCCGGAGGGACAAGGGAGCCCGCCGGAGCCAGTGGGATGACAGTCTACAGTGGAGATGAGGAGGGGTGGAGCCAATGGGTCAACAGGCTGATGTGGAGTTTTGTGCTCGGAGGCCTGAGTTGGAGCCAGGGTATCCTTACACCAAGGCGGGGCTGGAGAAAGGGAAGCCTAAGGTAGAGCCGAGGAGCATGGCAGAGCCACCAAAGGCAGAGCCGAGGAGCTGAAGGGAGCAAGCAGAGACGAAGGCGAGGAGCTGGAGGGAGTTGGCAGAATAGGAGGGAGCTGGAGGCTGGGTGGAACCAGCTGCAATGAAGGAGACAAGAGACTGGGCTGGACCAGCGGAGACTGGAATCGTAGGCAACTGACACTGTCAATAGAGTCATATAATCCTGTAGAGACCGGACACAGCAAACACTCATCTGTCGCAAGAAACACTCCACTCAATGGCGTCAATCTCCACTAAAATTCCCACAGGGACGGACATTGGTGCCGGCTTTTGCACCTGGTCAGACTCTGCGACTGGCTTGGGCTCAGACAGAACTTAACTCAGGGCTTAAATACACAAGATAAGGACGAATAATGAAACAGGCGTGCAACATAATTGGTAACCATGGCAACAGACGAAGAGAAGGAACGTGGCAAAACAAAGGAAACAGAACAAAGAAAAACAAGGTGATACAAACTTTTACGCAGGAAAGGTTCAAAAGACAATCACCAGTGACAACTGGAGATTCACCCGTTGTAAAATGCAAAAGACTTTGGACTGAGAGTTTGGAAAAAGAGACTGCAACCGGCCCATGCGAAAACGAGGATAATAACAAAAGGGTTTCAGCACTTCGTGAATATCTGAAGGGCTTTAAATGTAGTCACACAATGCTGATGTTGTTAACATTAACAATTTGACAACAAAGTATAATTTGCACGGTTTGACGTGATATGATAAGCGATCGTTAGATTTAAAGGTGCTCTAAGCGATGTCACGCGTTTTTAGGCCAAAACATTTTTTGTCACATACAGCAATCATCTCCTCACTATCCGCTGACTGCCTGTCCCCTAAACACACTGTAAAGAAACGCGATCTCTGTAGACAGCCCAGGCTCCACAAACAGCAACAAAAACAAACTGCGGCGACCCGCTCCCCGAAACATAACAAACTGTTCCAGCCAATGACCAACAAGAAGGGTTTGGGGGTGTGGTTTGGGGGGTTAGTGTGCGGATGAGGGGGAGGGAGGGTCTAGCTAGCCTCCGTTTTGTTTGACAATAGTTCGAACGTCAACAAGAAGTGACGTCACCCAGGATCGCTTAGAGAACCTTTAATCAGCGCGATTTACTGCAAAGCTTTTTTTCCCTTAGTTGGTCAGAACAAATGTGGATATTACTTGTTCAGATGACAATTTAGGGTGATAATTCTTATGTTGGTCATACTTCCAAAAAGTAGAATCTGTGATTCTGAATGCCAGTATCCACACCGGCGCGGTGACTGCCAGCTGCACATTCTCCTCAAACATTGGATTCATACGCTCTGTGCCGTGCCGAGGTACAACTCACGTAAAGTTTATAATTCCGCGAATAACTGCAATTGCAGATTTCTAACAGAGATGGCGACAAAGAGGAAAAACTGCGGACTGCAGCTTTAAAAAAAAAAAAATTAAATAGGAGTGACAGTCTTAACCCTGTAAATCCTGGCATATGAAATAATAGTTAGAAAAATTACATTTTTAAATGGAACAATTTAATAAACCCTTAGTCAAAATATTACAAAAAAGTCTTGTTTTGTTGAGTGTCATATTTGACACATCAGGCTTCTTTGGCTCATATAATATGTTATAGCTATAGGAGAATATGGAGCTCATACGCGAGGAGGAAAACAATTTAATTTGAATCGAAAGTTGAGCCAAAATAGAAAATGAACATTTTGTCTTGAACACAAAAGTTCTTCTTAGCAACAAAATTGTTCATCGTGTGAGGGACTGAATTTACTGAAAATCTTCAAGCAGCTTGAACATTCTGCTTAATAACTTATTTTGTGTACCACAGAGTCATAGAGGCTTTAAAACATGAGAGTGAGTAAATGACAACAAAAGAGGAACATTAAAAATGTGCGTTCACAGCTGTGCAATTAGCATTTTACAATGGCTTTGAACATGGCTCATCCAATCAGAATTTAGATTCAGTATTATGATCTTTGTCTAATCTTTCACTGGCACGTTAGAAGGTGAAAGGTTTGTTTGTATCTGTCCAGCTCATGTAAAAGTCAGCTCAGTGGTTGTAAGGTATGTGCACAGTCCCCTGGTTCAGTTTTCTCTCACCTCCCCAGTTATCCATCCTGTTTCTTAGAACATGTAATCTCTCTGGCACCGTTTCCCTGCAGGTGTTGATCCTGTTCGCCTCCCGCTCACCTTCTGCACGTGTAGCCTACCCCTGTCCTGACTCATACGGGGCAGGATGATGTCAGCACATGGGAGGGTTGATACAGTGAAAAACTGTAATAGATTTAATGGGACATTTCACATTAGATGCCATTTTATTGTAACACACTTTTAAATGTAATTATATATACAACTTATTATAATTTACAGTAAAATTGACATTCCCAGAATTCTCTGTGATACGGTCTCTCTCACATGGTTTTTCATTGATATAACTGTGTATTCTTAGTTTTATTCTTATCTTGTATTTAATTTCACCATGTACATGTTCCTGGATTAACATCTTTGTTGATCCTGGAACAACATTCCAATTAATCATTCAGATTTAAGGGACAAGTTTACAGTGTATGTCAAGCTTAGACTTACAACCAGGGTTAGGTGCTTCAACATCTGTGTTATTCATCTATCATTTCCCTCTGATTTCAGGGATAACTTATGGGTACGTTTAGGTTTAGGGGCAAGGATATGGTCAGGATTCAATTTTCAGACAGGAATGCTGTTCCAGGATCAACAAAATATGTTGACCCATGAAGACGTCTAACTCTGCAAAATCAGGACGTGCAGAAGAGCCTGAGGCAAATTCCCGAATTCCCCAGTATATAACTGGCTTATATAAAGATGTTCTTGGCAGGTACATGAGCGCTGAACCGGCGCTGACGGCCCGGAGCTTACACATCTCCGAAAACTTCAAATTTTCAAATAGGCGCTTTATGTATAAATCACATTTAGGGTCTAAACAACTAACCTAAAAAACTCTGTGTGACACAATAAAGGTTGTATTTGTAAAAATATAGTGGTTGCTCCTCTGCTATTGACACTTGCTGTGAGAAATGCTGCCAGTATCTGGCAGAAACTAGCGGAGTGATACAAATTCTGAAACGGTTTCCATGTAATATTAGTAGAAAATCGCATGGCCGGAAAAGGCTCTCAGCCAATCAGATTCGAGATCCAGAACTAACTTGTTGTATAAATATATAGTTTGACTCTGGGCAGTCTATTTTTTAATTTTGTATACAGTTTAGGGTTATGTTTACTTTCTCATTGCATGTCCTTGTCTTATTATGTCAAATTCATTGCACGATACACTCTTAAAAATAAAAATTCTTTATTGGCATCTGTGGTTCCATGAAGAACCTTTAATAACATCCATTGCAAAAAAGGTTTTTGTAACACCCAGTTTTCACCATCCAGTCAGTGGACAAAAACAAAACCTCCTGATCTACATTTTTCCTTCTGAATATTGTTTCACATACTTCCCATTACAGAATTAAAATGGGTGTCCACTGTTTTATGTTGACTTTATCATTGTGTGTTTGCAGGTGTTCCTAATCGAGTGCATTGGACCACTTGTCATATACCTGCTGTTTTATTTTCGACTCCCTTTAATCTACGCTCCCAAGTATGAGTTCACCGCCAGTAAGCATTTGGTTGTGCAGTAAGTATCATGAAGCCCACTGCCCTCAGATGTGATTTTACTGCTGGATTCAGGCCATGGACAGTGGGAACAGTATCTTCTAACAGCTGACCTACTGGTCAACCATACTGAACCACAAGTGTATTTTGGGAATTAGGTTAAGACGCATTTGATTGATGTCTCTCAAGAATAAACTTTTATTTGATAACCTGATATTAAACCGAATTTCTGTCTGTTCTCCACAGTATAGCCTGTATGTGTCACTCCTTCCACTATGGGAAGCGAATCTTGGAGACGTTGTTCGTCCACCGCTTCTCCCATGGCACCATGCCGATGCGCAACATTTTCAAAGTGAGGATGGATCACAGTTGTGTGTGTATGTGTGTGTGTGTGTTTCAGTGTTATTTATATTTACATACACTATCATTCAGAAGTTTGGGGTTTTTCATGTTTTTGAAAGAAGTCTTTTATGTTTATCAAGTCTTTTATGCATTTATTTGATCAAAAATAAAACAGTAATATTGAGAAATATTACAATTTAAAATAAGTGTTTACTATTATTTTATTTTAGTGTCATTTGATGGTAAAGCTGAATTTTCAGCATCATTACTCCGGTCTTTAGTGTCACATGATCCTTCAGAAATCATTCTTATATGATGATCTGCTGCTCAAGAAACATTTATTATTATTATTATTATCAGTGTTGAAAATAGTTGTGCTGCTTTATATTTTATGTGGAAACTGATACTTTGTTCAGGATACTTTGATGAATAAACAGCTCAAAACACAGCATTTATTTGAAACAGAAATCTTTTAACAATGTAAAAGTCTTCGCTGTTACTTTTGATCGAATTTAATGCATTCTTGCTGAATAAAAGTGTGCATCTCTTACAAAAGAAAGTACTTAGTCAAAACTTTCGAATGGTAGTGTACGTTTTGATTCGAGTGAAACATATTTGAATATATTTCTACAGACTGTTTCCTTATTTAATTCCAAGAAGACAGATGCATGTTTTTAGCATGCTCGGTTTAAAGACCGCATAAAATCAAAACGACTTGAAATTTGAGTTCTTCTATTTGCCAGTGTTCTCCAAAATGTGACAGATAAACTTTAAGCAGACATACACAGACCTTCACTTCCAGGAAAACAAACCAAGAATATTGATGACTCATCCTGCAGACCTGCACTTGTAGCTAAATCAAATGGAAATCATGGTGGTCAACCCCCCAACTTCCAGTTTAATTAGAAAATGCACCAGCATAGGGAAGAAAAATGCACTCAACAAACAGTTTTATGGGGTCTAAGTTGATCCCCAATTGTTACAGTCCCTGTTCTAGGTCAGGGTGTTACATAAACAACGAAATTATAGTTTTAGGGGACGCTTACATGACAACGACAACAGCGTTTTTGGGGACCTGAAAACGCAAACTTGTGAAAACGGGTTTCAGAGTGCAGGTTTTTAAAACCGATACCATTATCATCTTCATGTAAACACAAATTGGTGAAAATGGTGGCGTCAATCGCATGTGTGTTATGTGTTCAGTCTATAGGCGCATAGTGTTTCTTTACAAAATGACATCGCCAACTACTGGCCTGGCATGAATAATACAGCGCTTTTAGTCATTGATCGTTTTGACAATGTTGTTACCCGTCTTTAGTTACCCTTCAACTCAGTTCCTGCAAGGCCACAGTCCTTCAGAGTTTAGCTTCAACCCTAAATAAACACACCTGATCCAGCTAATCAAGTCCTTCAGGCTTATTTGAAAACTACAGTACAGGTATCCCAGACAGCAACATAGTGTCGGCTCACATCTGGTACACGTGGATTCCACACGGACTGTGGCCCTCCAGGAGCGGAGTAAAATGAAAAAAAGAATCCCAGTAATTTAAATGAATATCAATAAAGCTTTTTTTTTTTAAACATCACATTGCAATTGTTTCTTCCACAGAACGGCTCCTATTACTGGTGCTCTGCTGCATGGATGGCTTATTACATCAATCACCCTCTCTACACGCCGCCATGTATGTAACTCATCACTCAACTCTGCTCTTTGTCATTCAGATTATTACTGTACTCTGAACTGCTGTCTGTTTACATGCAGATTATGGGGAGAAGCAGGTGAAGGCAGCGCTGGGAATCTTTCTAGTAAGCACTTTCCACTGCACTACCTCCTCCTGCAATGTGTCGTGTATCTGTCTTATCAGCGTTCTTCAGTTACTGATTTGTGCTTTTTGCAGTTCTGTCAACTGGGCAGCTTGTCGATTCACATGGCTCTGCGTAATCTCAAACTATCTGGTAAAAGCTACAGAATAAATCCCAAATCCAAAGTCAGCCACTATGGTTTTGTTAATATAATGCATTCAATTGTTTTTTTTCTTCTTTTTATAAAGGCACGAAGGTTAAGAAGATTCCTTATCCAACCAAGAATCCTTTTACATGGATATTTGCACTTGTTTCATGCCCAAACTACACATATGAGGTGAGACCCATGAGTGACTGCGGTGTGAGTGATTCCATGTATTACCTGTAAGTTAAGCATCTCTCTGGTTCCCTCGACAAAATCCCAATAGGATTTTTCCATTTGCTTTTGAAAATAAGTTTATGATCCTTCCACGTTTCAGTCATCACGGTAATATTCACAACTGAACACAACTTTTATGAATTTTGAAGCCTAAATGCAGTCGCCAGAAGTAAAAAGCGAAACATGGGCTAGAGTGCATTAGTGCCCGCCCACTTTTTCAGCGGCATATTTTTTCAAATATTTCCCCCCATAGGGAATTAAAAAAAATATTTGTTAAAGCATTTAAAGCTGGTTGTCTCGTAGACAACCAGCTACGAGGTGAATAACAACACTACAAACTTTGATTTGAAGCAAAAACGTATTTGAAAATCAGACAAAGACTGTGTACTTAACGGCTTCCCATGAAGCATTGCAAATGGCATAATTAAATTGAAAACTAAAAACACAATGAGGCTTGTAAAAGCACACTACACTGTAAGAAAATATATGATCACATATGAAAGTTGAAATAACATATGAAATCACATATGAAAGTTATGACAACATGTTTTTACATTGCTTTAACACATCAAAATAAGTTGGTTTGAATAAGTTTTTTTTTTTTTTTTTTTTTTAAGTCAGTTTAATGTAATTTAAGTTGAAATGACTTAAACATCCAAGTGTAGTGAGTAGATAAATTTGCCATTCGTTTGACGTTTGACGCATGACGTTTAATGGCCTCTGTAAAGACCTTATGCACCAGAGAAACAAGCACGCAGCCATCTTTAGATCTTTGTCTTTGAACTTCTGTTTTTGCTGTAGCTCTGTATAAAATGGCAATGCTGTCGAGGACACCCTCATGGTGTTCCAACCCCGTAAGACTGTAGTTCATCTTCAGAACAGAAATTAAGATATTTTTGATGAAATCTGAGAGCTGGATCACTCCTCCATAGGCTGCTAGATAATTGCATCTGCCGGCCCAGAAAAGTTAGTAAAGACATCGTTAAAATAGTCCAAGTGACTACAGTGGCTCAACCTTAAGTTTATCAAGCGACGAGAATACTTTTTGTGCGCAAAACAAACAAAAATAACGACTTTATTCAACTATTCATTTCCTTCTGTGTGGGCCTCTGATGTGCGTTCACGAGAGCGCCACGAAGCATGCGCAGACACTGAGAAGATGAGGCAGATGGGTCTCGATGTAGTGTTTAAATGGTTCTAAAGTGTGCATTTCCTGGATGTCTGAATCGTGAGTAAAAGTGCCTTACCAATGCCGCAAAATGAATGGCTTACCTTTCACACTTTCCCATCAAATGATCGTGAGCGTCTTCTCAGTGTCTGCGCATGCGGCGTGGCGCTCTCGTGAACTCACGCCAGAGGCCCACACAGAAGAAAATTAATAGTTGAATAAAGTCTTTTTTTTTTCTTTTTTTTGGCGCACAAAAAGTATTATCGTCGCTTGATAAACTTAAGGTTGAGCCACTGTAGTCACTTGGACTATTTTAACGATGTCTTTAATAACTTTTCTGGGCCGGCAGATGCAATTACATAGAAGCCTGTGAAGGAGTGAGCCAGCTCTCAGATTTCATCAAAAATATCTTAATTCGTGTTCTGAAGATGAACGAAGGTCTTACGGGGTTGGAACAACATGAGGGTGAGTAATTACTGACAGAATTTTCATTTTTGGGTGAACTAACCCTTTAAGTTCGACAGAACACAAGAAGCGCAGCGCTGAAAAAGGGGCGGGAAAAATGTGAAAAATCACCACAGACCTTATTTCATGCATTTAACCAAAAACCCATTTAAAAAAAAAACATTATTTTCAGATCGATTCAACCGGAAGTGCTAAAATGCAAATCCTTTTAGGTTTTGTCTGACAAAAATACATCATCACTCTATAGACCATCTTTAACAAGAACCTGTCCTGCCGTGTGAACGGACCAGGGGCGTAGAATTTAGTAGGGACGCTAGGGACGTGTCCCTACCAATATCCAGTGACACTGATATATCCCTTGCAATAATTTCGATCAAAACTTCAAATATATTTATATATTGATGACCCCGTCCCCACCAATTTCAAAATCAAACCACTCAACGGCCCATTACAAATAATGAAATGCTGACCTCTACTGGTCACACAGAGTTCATAACAGTCCCTGAAGCTGTGGTTACTGTACTTCTGTAGCTGGGCTCCTGGATTGGATTCACACTGATGACCCAGTGTGTGCCCGTGTTGTTCTTCACTGTGGTGGGATTCATACAGATGACGATTTGGGCCAAAGGAAAGCATCGCAGCTACCTGAAGGAGTTCAAAGAGTATCCCACACTGCGCTCCCCAATCCTACCTTTCATCCTATAGCAGGAAAACAAACCACTCAACTTTTTTTTTTTTTTTACAAATATAAATCAGTATTTTCCTAGTTTATACATATACAGCAAGTCTTAATATATATTATTGTATGAAATAACTGCAGTAAATAATGAGACACTGTAATGTTGTATTTATATCAAGTAAAGTTGCTCTATTTTAATAATCATAAATTAAAAAAAAAACATTTTATTGTTCATATACACGATTACAGAAAATTGTGCAAATGTATAGGAACGCAAACAATTAGCAGACAAAGTACTACAACCTAGAAATCCAAAGAGACTCTTTTTGTCTGTGGTGAGAAGCCATAATGTGAATTAAAGACAGTTCTGTGCCTTTATCTTGAGGCAAATATAAGACTCGATTCATTCTTCAGAAATGACTAGATTCATTTGCATGTAGCAGATATGTATCACCTCACTTGACTGATGTATTTCCAAGCAATACATCTGACGTGGCAACAATTTTATGCTATTGCTTTTTTTTTATTGTGTGAATTTATGGTAATCCTTTATCAGATTGGCTTACTTTACCTGGGTGAATCTGATGAACATGTCAAGGGTATATTTCAAAGAAACGCATATTTTGCTTTAAAAGTGTAGCCTCTTTTTTACACTCCACCGTTTTGGGAGCACTTTGACTCGGCGCAGTAATATCATCACTCCGGACAGGGAGATTTTTCACGAGAGATGATATTACTGCGCCGAGTCAAAGTGCTCCCAAGCATTTTCTGTGGTATTCCGCCATACATTATAGTTATCCATTTTACACGCTTAGAAAAGCGCAACGTTTTATTTTGTGTCACCATTCTTGGTCGAGTTACACTACTCGTGTAACTGTATTTAAATAGGGGAAACGTGGAGGTGTTTGGTCGCTTCTCTTCTGGGCACGTATTGAATGAACAGGGCTGAGATAAGATCTAACAAAGTTTCGCCGCAAGACAGAGCGATTTAGTGCACGCACTGAGACGAGAGAGGTATGTATCAACTCGTCTTAGTTAAGGGAATAACATAGTTTAATATGACAAAACGGTGGAGTATCCCTTTAACTGTTATGAAAATAATTGCATAATGCAAAACATCTTAATCATCCTCATTTTCTAAAGCAAATTATATACCGTTCAAAAGTTTATGGTAAGTTTTTGGCGGTCAGTAAGCCTCTTATATTCACCAAGGCTGCATTTATTTGATAAAAAAATACAGTAAAACTGTAATATTGTGAAATATTATTGCAATTTAAAACAACTGTTTTCTATTTTAATACATTTTAAAATGTAATTTATTCTTGTGATCAAAGCTGAATTTTCAGCATCATTACTCAAGTCTTCAGTGTCACATGATCCTTCAGAAATTTTTCTAATGATTTGATGCTCAAGATAGAAACATTTCTGTCTAGAAACATTATTATCAGTGTTGAAAACAGTTGTTCTGCACAATATTTTTGTTGATGCATTTTTTTTTGGGGGGGGGGGGGGATTCTTTGATTAATATAAGGTTCAAAAGAACAAATTTTGTTTGTTCATAAATTTGGTGCATTATGCAGGAATTCCGTTTTTGTCAAACAGCGACCCCTAGAGTCGCTGTGGAGTACTTGTACTGTCGTAAATAGCACTCACGCTGAGACTATATGGGGAGGCTGCAGACCTGGAGCCGGCAGATTTACGCCCCTGGCAGTTTTACGCCCCGACAGTTTTAGGACCCTGTTGTTCCTGATGCGTCCAGTAGAGGGATATACTGCGAAATAACATAATTAAATCGACGCTTACACATTAATAACCCGTCCATAGACTTGACAATTTTGTGTTTTTTGTTAATTTAAATATAAACGTTACAGTGTAGATCTCCACGGATTCAATTTTCTGTAGATATTCAGTTGGCCTCTCTTCACTCAACCTACAGAAGACTATTTGTTTTTGTGAATTGAAAAATTAAAAATACACATAGTTGGATCAACTATGTGTTATGACAGGTGATGCTATGACCTACTGCAGTTATAGGCCAATTCACCATAGGTTTTTATATACAGGAGACTGAGTGAAATATGTTTTTGTGAATTTATTTAAAGTCACATTTAGATATTAACCATATTTAGCCCATTAGACATGCAGTACCGTGTAATAATGTGGATCCTCGATTAAATATCTGCTGTACTATTCTATTGGTCATCATACAGCTACAAAACAGTGTCCTACACAGCATTTTATGAAGACAAACACAATTTATCCCTTTTCTAAAATTCCATGGGCCATTTAGAAGATATAGACAATATTGTTGTTCACAAAAAAATATTTATTAACACCATTTATGAATTATGATGACTCCCCTATGGTTTGCCACTCTTCTTTAACTGTTTTTTTTTTCTTTAACTGCTCCTGCTCACTGATGAAACATTAAAAAATGAAACATTAAAAAAGTTAAAAAGGACATCCATGGTGAATTTGACCTTGTCCCTGTGTGTGTGTGTGTGTGTGTGTGTGTGTTTCCTTAAGTAGCTAAAGCAAACACACCTTTATGAGATCCAAGTTAAAGAGAACTTGGTAAAGACAGAGTATGATAAAACCCACATTAAGTGCACATACCCTACATTTGAGTCCAGATCAGTAAGCTATTTTAAGAAAAAATGTATATTAAGATGTAAATGAGGTAATTAGATCATCTCATTTATAAGAAACAACCAGAATCTACATTCAAACCATATGGGGAAAGTTTGTAATGTGTTTTAACGTATTTGAGTGAGTGTGCAGTTTAACTCTGTACTTAGAGAGAGAGAGAGAGATTTACATACCTATTATAAATGTGTCTTTTGTGTGTTCACACCATAGACTGTAAAAAAAATTCACATATTTCCATTATCTACTGTAATATTGCTCTATAAACCATGTGGAGTATGTTTTAATGCAAGGAGTAAACAGAGTCTTACCAGAAGAGGCCAAGCTGAAGACAGGCAACAAAAGAAAATTAAAATTAAAATTAATTTTAAATTGAGTAGAGAAGATAGGGGAAGCTAAACCTACACGTGGTTAGTTAAGTTTAAGCCAGATAGAACAGAAACCTGTCAAAATACATTATAGACCCATCCATTATTATATATGAATTGATATCTACCTACCCTAGCTCTATCGAGCTAATCGTTTATAAATAATAAATGTTGCATCATTGCTAAAAAACAATAACTTTAGCAGATTATTTAACATACAAATGACAGAATCTATTTTTGTCAGATTTTAATTCTAACGATGTTAATCTTGATTATACGGTATTATTACTTTGTCTTCTGGGCAAGTTTCATCTTCATAAAGACAGAACCATTCAAAGTAATCCTGATTCTAGAATATTCTCCTCTGATATAAAGTTCATTTTTTTTCTTCCTTTAAGAAAATGTCAGAACCTTTAAACTCAAAGGTTTATAAAACAAATAATATCATTGAGTCTGTTGTAAAGAACCTTACATGTTTTTATATTGACAAAATGTAATATTGCATATTTGTGTACCCTAATTCAATCTCTTTTGATGTCCGTTTACCCCCTTTGTTTTTTTGTTAAACAGATAATTTAATCCGTGCAGATCTACACTATAACGTTTATATTTAAATGAACAAAAAACACAAAATTGTCAAGTCTATGGACGGGTTATTAAGCGTCGATTTAATGATGTTATTTCGCAGTATATCCCTCTACTGGACGCATCAGGAACAACAGGGTCGTAAAACTGCCGGGGCGTAAAACTGCCAGGGGCGTATATCTGCCGGCTCCAGGTCTGCAGCCTCCCCCTACTCCGCTGAGATGGCTCTGCACTCACGACCTGATCCCCTCCCCCTGTACACCGGTACCTGTTCAGTAGGATGGAAGCTGTAACGAGTTGAAATAAGGTGTGGCCCCTTTAAGAGCTGCGCGCCCTGTTTAACTGTCGGCAGCCTGTATTGTATGTGTGCCTCGAACACCACATGTATACGGCGCCGAGTTATGTCTGTTTGATGCTTATTTTATCAGAATTTTATCAGATCTTTTTTGCCGTAAAGCAATTTGTTACATCGCGAGACCTGATATCCATAGACAGTAAAAGAAATGGACACAGCGACCCCGTTGATTTCAACGGAGAGAGTTGAAGCCCAACATGGGCACTCACTTCCTGATAGCCAAGCGTTCTGCGCAGGCTCAAACTGAGCTTGACGACGTAGTTGTCACGTGAGCAACCGTTCTGACCTAGTAGCTGTGCCGGGACAAATCTGAATTGAAATCTGAAACAAATCTGTTGTTGAAATATGTTGTCCCGTTGCTTTTATGAACTCTCTATCTATGGGCTTCTCCCTTGACTTTATGCCTCCATGTCCACCCGATTGCCTCATAGACAGTAAACGATTGCCTACGAGCTTCTCCTTCTGTCTATACGGTAATTTCTCTACTGTGCGACAGAGCGTCCCGTAGTTATGACGCAATCGTTAGCCTATTTTTACAAGAATGGCTTCTACGGGGCCATAACGTAAGATACAAAGTAATGGAGCCTTTTATCCATTGTCCCGTTTCTTGAGAAATAAATAATGGACAAATGGAGTCTTTGGACGCCTCAGATGTAAAGTTATTCGCTGTCAAAGTGACGCCAAAATGAATGGGAGTCAATGGGATGCTAACAGCAGGTGATAGCCAGCTACAATGGCGGCTCCCGGAGGCAGCTTCAACTTCCGGCTGATGGATTACCCCCTTGCTGAAATCAGGCGACACTTCCTGATGCTGCGGCCGGCGGCCCGCTGGCTCAAAGTTGGAAGTGTGTTTTTTCCGCTCACATGCGATAGGGGGGTGCGAAACGACCACCATTCAACCCGAAAAGAGTAATATAACCATTCCAATGACTCCGAAGCTGTTCGGTTGAGGTAAAAAACCTGCATAGTTCACCTTTAATGCATCATTGTTGAATAAAAGTGTTAATTTATTTAGTTTAAAAAAAAAAATCTTACTGACCCCAATTTGAACAACAGTAGTGTAATTTCTTACTTTTTTCTTTTGACTTTGGG